TGTTGACTGGTTTCGATACACATTCCAACAGGTATCTAATCTAAACTTCACATCATCCTATCCCACGTCAATTTGGGCGTCTTTAGTCAAGTGTCTAAATGATACAGCTACAAAACTGACTAGTCAGTGCAACGACCTAAACGAGGAACTGCAGCATATAAAAGAAGTCTGATAACAATTGATATCCTTCACAGTTTATTAACAAATTCGTAAGAAAACACATAAGAAACAAACAATTAACAGTAACAGCAGTACGAATAATAACGACAACACAAGTAGAAAGGAGTTCACAGCCTCCATTGTGTTATCTATCCTATAAGGAAGGAACATCAGAAACTCAACAAACCTGGAATTAGACTGGCATTTAAACCTACAAACTCACTCCGAGATAAGCTTTGTCAGCTGACCCAAGGATTCGATAGAACCAGTTCAGTAAAATAATCTAGTCTATCAAATTCCATGTAATGACTGTGAGTCATGTCAAATACATAGGTGAAACTAGCCAGTTGGGGTCAGTTAGAATAGCCGAACATATGTCACACTCGAATAAGATCAGTAAATCTAGGAAAATATTTGGCTATTGCAATGCATGCATTAAAACACAAACACACAATTCGGTCGGATAAAGCCACTGTATTTAAGTGCCCAATTGTGTGTTTGTGTTTTAATGCATGCATTGCAATAACCGAGTTTTCTTTCTAGATGATTAATCTTATTCAGGTCTCTCATTCTATATTTAGCTAAATTCATATGTTCCGCTATACTAACTGACCCCAACCGGCTAGTTTCACCTATGTATTTGACCTGACTCACAGTCATTACATGGAATTTGATAGACTAGATTATTTTACTGAACTGGTTCTATCGGATCCTTAAGTCAGCCGACAAAGCTTATCTCTGAGTGAGTTTGTAGGTTTATATGCCACCTTAATACCAGCTTCGTTGAGGACCCTACATAAAGTTTCTGATGTGCTTTCCTTGTAGAGTAACACAATAGAGGCTGCGAACTCCTTTCTACTTGCGTTGTCGTTATTATTCGTACCAGTGTTACTGTTGTTATTTCGATTCTGATGTGTTCGTACGAATTTCTTATTAAACGACAGAGGATAATTATTAATGCTTCTTTTATGTGCTTTAGTTCCCTGATTAGGCCCTTGGACTGACTAGTCAGTTTTCTAGCCATATCATCTAGACATTTGACTAAGCCTACCTTAAATGACATTGGATGAGATGTTATTTAAGGCAGGTTTAGACAGTTAGATTAGCGGAACAAAAATTTAGCTACATATAGAATGACAGGCCCGAATAAGATCAATCACCTAGTAAAATATTTGGCTATTGCAATGCATGCATTAACACACAATCACATAATAGGATGAGTAGGACAGAACCACTATACTTAAGTCCAATCTAAATAGGTAGGTAGGTAGGTAGAGAGAGAGAGATTGATCGCTGAATCATTAGTTCACTGAATCAACACCCAACACATGTAATAGAAATGATGCAACATCTATACTAGAGATATGGAAAATTTTGCTACCAATAAAACCAACTCATATAAGGTGACATAATTATAAAAATCAGACGTCGAAAGCAATGTGATTACATTGATATAATTGATGCTCGAAACGTGGTCATCAAGTAAACAATACTGCATCACTCACTGTTATTTTTTATAAATCAAATAAACAAATCTAATATAAGATTGATCGGTTCTTTTCTTTGTTACAGGTCTGTTATTATTAGGATGGTGATAATTATGTTAGTATTCATCACAGACTGACATCAGTGTTGGAGAACAATTGAAAGCCTTGGCGTTCTGGACACTTGTTTTGTCCTAGTATGGGACTTCTCAGGAGTGTGGCCCAAGGCCCCCTTACTACTAGGGACTCAATTCAGGACCAACGGTGAACACGTTAGCCATTCAGCCACTAGGCTGGAGTTCAATGGTCCGCAGTTTCTAGCTGATGTGATGAATACTACCTCAAGAATAAAATCCCCCAAAACATTAAAACTAAATTACTGTATCGTGCTTATTAGTGACAAGCTGTGACCTTTAGGGTCAACCAGTCGGATGTGGTGTGAATGCCCCAACTGAAGACCTAAGTGGATAGTTGTGCTGTATCGCGAATTCGATAGAAGTAGGGAAGTGCGAACCACTGAATTCCGATCCGATGGTTAACGCTTTCACCGGGAGGCCTGAAAGACCCAAGTTCGATATCTGGCGGTTCGGCATCGTGGGCGCGTACCACTTAAGTTATCTGATACTCTCAAGTTTTCACTATCTCTTCAACCGATGTGAGGTCCGTGATGACTAATACCTTGAAATCAATAAAATCCGGTAAAAAAAACTGCAAATTTTATCATCATTACTATTCACCGCACCTGCTGTTAAAAGTCTGTGATCTTCCTTCCAATTGCCAACGGATACAAAATATTCACATTGCTACCATTTTTCAATTGAATTTTGTTTTGTAGTTCATTTGATGACTAGCAGTGGGATCCAATACGCACGTTTCGACCCCTTTGGCACTTATCAGTTGGGTATACCTGGACCTCAGTGAGTGATAGTGTTCCCGCTTAGTGTTATCCAATAGGCCCATCAGGCTCAAGAGGCACCTCTTATGTAACGGGTATCGGTATTTCTCAATGTATATGGTTACCTTGTTGTTATAACTCAAAAGTGTCTTTCCTATGCTAATTCTGTGCTTATCCCAGACTGCTTGGAGCTATAGAGAAAAGTCGTAAACTAAGTATGAACCCAACTTATTCCGTAAATGCCCAGTTTAACCCCCCCCCCAAGCACACACAGAAACGTATAAATTCAGCATACATATTCTCTCACCCTGTAATTGTAATTCCAAATCATACTGAATTCTTTCATCTTTGTCCGGACATACTTATACAAATTGATCTATCGTCTTCATTAGACTATTGTTGCTTATTTCCTTTTGCCTTCTCAATAGAGTAACTTTGAAGGCCATCTCAGCAACTTCCGATGTCACCAATCAGGTTTCAGTCAGCCTTGAATACTACTGGGAGCATGAGAGTGATTGACACTTCCCAGCAGCCTAAACCATGGAAGGCCGTTTCCTCTTAAGGTATCTGAAAATGAAAACGATTTGTGTAACCGCAGAGACCATAGGACATCTGCTTGAAGCATTTCGTACACATCCAATTGAAGACTGTTGGTGTGAGATTTGATTGTTCTAACACTGGATAGACAAAACCCATACTACCGGCACCGGAAGACTGTGGGGCAGGGAGAAGTATGCTATTTTAAGGGTCGATCTGATCTAACCCTCCCTTCCCGTGGGACTGCTGACCATCTAAGGGAAACAACTTACTGCTGTGACACTCCATCTAGTTAGATATAACTTCACCCTCGAATCCCCATCGTAGTGCAGTAATTAACTCTACAACGGTAACTGCTTTTTGTCCCACCACCATCCGGCATGATACTACCCCGAGGGAACAAGCGTTCCAGCCAGTGTAGCTCGTTGGGTCATTTTGATATACAATCCCGACCAGTACGTCTAGGTAGCAGCAACCGATCGAGACATGTCCCAGAACTTAGTCTCGGGAGTTAGTTATGCTTACCTAAGCAGTTGTTAGGGTGGCCCTTAAGTCTACCCATTTTAACATTGAGTTTCGAGTGGTTTCAAATGTCACTCTGATATAACCAATAATTACGGTTCACTACTTTATGAAAAGCTAACTTTTTAGCCGAAATGCCAAAACCTGATTGGTTATTTAAGCAGTTGCTGGGGTGGTCTTTTAAATCTCTCTAACGTTTCATATCAGACATTTTCGAAGAGAGTTTTCGGGGTACTTGTAATACTAACAATTATCGATAACACAAGCACGCAAACACACACATACACGTTGATTGTTTGATCCAACATTATGATCAGATGATAACAACAACTAAAGAAGACATCACTTCAAACACTGATGTATTTGTTATCCAATGAGGGCACTTTATGTGTTTTGTGTTCGACAATTAAGCGTCGTTATACGCAAGATCTTGAAATTATGTCAAGACAAAATGTGAAAGGTGTTACCTTGACATCTGCAAAGGAGAGACATATAATCAATCTTGTCACCGAAACCGCAAGTCTTAGCAAAAATCTCTAGCGTGCAATGAAGTATAAGCACATACATCCACCAACTGAAGGCTGCTGAGTAGAACGAAACTCGCATCCTGGATCCTAGTTTTAGGCACCATTAAATGGTAAAAAACTGCCCCGTTGAACAATGTAGTGGTTTTTTCAAGCTCAATCAATCAATAGTAGGGGATGATGATTGTAGGGGGTCCAGACACAATTCGGACAAATGGCTCCAAGATCACCTGACCGGCAGCACTATACAACCCAACTACTGACACACCAGATTTTCTCTTTCAAGAATCATTCAGCATACTAATAAATACCATATTGCCAAGCCACTGTTATCTCTCACAATATAATACCAATATATCAATCTACAATAGTGAAATAATAGTAACAGACTCAGGACCAGACTAAGCAAGCAACATAGCGGGGTGGGTAGTAGTAGTAGTAGTAGTAGCAGTAGATGTAATGAAGCACATTCCATTGATTTAAGGCATACGATACCCTCGGTGAATATCACCGAGATTGAAACCCCACATCCATCCACCACTCCAAAGTGTCACCATCTAGATGATTGAAACACACGAAACAGATGGTGTATTCGAGTCCCCCAGATAAGGAGTAGAAAGATTCTTCACGTTAACTAGTAACGCATAACACCACATGCACTCCCCTGGTCACTTGGTTCGAATCCTACTGCAACTAACATCTTCATTTCACCTTCAGTTATCAAAGGAATAACATCCAAATACCAAGTATGATAATATCGAGATAGATCGATTAGCGTATAACATGAAGCCTGGAAACCTGTGGGAATCCATAAGTCCGGTTCAATAAAAACGAACCAAAGAAACACCAATTCACACACACACATAAATATCTCCATATAAAATAGCCTTTTTTCTTTTATTTAGAATGAAACAAATGATGAGAAGATAAAAAAAACGAAATGATTTCATCAGGGTTATGCATTTTTATTTGCAGATAAATGGTTTGTGTATTTATGTTGGTCAACGAGTGCACTATAAAGTATTGTCTTTGGTTTATGTGTCTGTCTATCTATCCTTCTACGTCTGTCTATAAGTGGAGATACACAGAAGCACAAGGAGTCAATGAAATAGATAGAGAGACAGAGAAGGAAACGGCAGTCACACACACATACACACAAGAGGCGTAGAGTGATGTGCGCACAAGACACAGATTTGATTGTCAAGGCATACAAACACACGAGTTACCATAGTGAAACTATTAGGATTTATACAATCTGAACATACATTCAAAAACACAGACGAACAAACGTGTAACATCCACAGTAAAGTATTTGAGGAAAGCTTTTAATATACAGTTTTGATTTATTACGAAGAGGATGGAATCCATACAGAGAGGCGAATATTTAATATAATGTATAAGGTGAGCTTATAGACAGGATGAGTGGGAAGTCATCCCCCCCCCCATTGAACAGGGCGGATTGTGAATCATCATCATTATTCTCGTAACCAATATCATTAGTAGTGGTATGGATAAATAATGAGGAAAAAAAGGAAGAGAAGGAAACACTATCACTGTGTGCCTATCGTCATAGGTAGTAATAATCATAATCATAATAATGGATGGATGGATGGGTGTATAAAGAACACTGGAGACACGCATACACACATGCACAGAGCAAGGATTAGGAGGAATAGGGTAAACGATCAATCATTACAATAACCTAACCATTCCTTTCTCTTTTTTTTTATCAATAGAAAGACAATGAGACATTGTTGAGAAAAGACAAGGGTGAGAGAGAAGACAATAGCGAGTGAAACACACGACATAGACATTATTCACTACTGAAGCATAGACACACACACACATACACCATAGGCGGAAATAAGACAAAGACAAAGCAAGATAATAAGGTAGGACAAGTTGAAACCAGAGTGTAGACAGTGTGAATGAATCAGAGAAGAAATGGATTGTTGGTTGGACGATTCAGGCCGGTAATATTACTAGAGACCATTCCACCATTCAATGATGTCGCCGTTGTGAATGATTGGTTCTGATTAAGAAACAGTTGAGGAGGTTGGGTCTGTAGAAGAAAAAATAATGGAGGAAGAGTATAGGTGTGATTTAGCCGGTGAATAATTGTACATTTATGTTTAGAAATTGAAAAGTCAATGTCACTCACTCCTTCTCAGCGCAAGTATGTGTGTGTGCTGGTGAGTTTGAGTGTGCGTTTATAACAAAAACCCGGTTATCTGGGGGTCAAAGTAGGTGGAGCGAGATCAGAACATACAACAGCACTAATGATAGATAAACGCTAGCAGTGAAATTCAAGAGGCGGGTTTCGTTCTGCTTGGTACTCGTCAGCTGAATGTAACTGCACCTAGAACACACTGCCTGTGTAGTGAATAAGTTACATCTCCTCAAATTTAATGTTATGAGTAGGATTCGAACCAATATTCAAAGACTGTAGATCACGTGACATTTGTAGTCATAACAATGAATGAAAAGGATAGACGAAAAGCGAGAGACTTCTTTCGAAAAGATAAAGTAGATGACAACATGAAGACGAGAGCAGTTAGCGAGCAGAAACCGCTATGCGATCCTTATGGTTCTCAACTTCTAGCTCTTGTTGACCGCTTGCCTTATCAAAGAATATTAATACTTTCATGAAGGAGAGGAATAACAATCGGAAATAAGAATCCTTCGTCAGAGGTCTTAATTAAAGTATAACTGTCTACTATTTTTTGACACTTGTAATCTACCGTTGTTTTGCTGGGTCGAATTGCCCGACGTCTGTTGGCAGATGAGCTCTTGTACGGAGGCCTCAATACTGCCCAATTACTCATTATGTTGTAATCTGCTTGGTGACTGGTAGTGGAATCCAAGACGCAACTTTCATCCTGCTAAGAACTCATTCGTCAGCTGAATGTCCCTGCATTCCAGTGAGTGATGCTGTCTCCATCGGGACTCGAGCCCAGTACCCACCGCTTCAAACGACAAGACGTTATCCACTAGGCCACTGAAACATGGTGGTCATCTCTTGTACAACGGACATTACCTATTATTATTATTATTATTTATTGACACCTTGTAATTCTTTGCTGTCAATACTGGGACGAATTGATCCATTTAAAATGTTGGTAGAAGGTTTCCTATGCAGAGGCCTCGATATTACTTGAATAGCTATTGTTATATTTGACTTGACATCACTCGCTGGGGTGCAGGCTCCGTCCAACTGGCGAGTTCTAGGTGGGGAGAAATGGATATTCTGGATTCCAGTGGTAGCTAAAAACAAGTCAATCATAACTATTTACATTAAGACAGCAAATGCTTTTGCTTCCAGTATTCTTCATCATACTTTCTCAGTATAGAATGAACACCTGCTTCAGTGGGCGTATTTCGAGTCAGTAAGCACGATACATGAATCAGCTAACAGACTGGAATGCTCATAAAGTGTTATAGGTGTACAACTGAAGACAACTAACCTTCCACTAAGCATTTGAGGCATAGTTTGATAAGGTGTTGTATATTACAGGAAGCATATGAGGGGTTGAAACGTCCCGGCTGATCACACCGTGGAAGGTTATTTCTTCTTAAGGTATCTGAAAGAGAAGACGATTTGTGTGATCGCAGAGCCCATAAGACATCTGCTTAAGAAACAATACCGCCAGCACCAGAAGACTGAAGGGCAGTGAGGAGTATGCTATTTTTCTAACCCCCCTTACCGGTTTGGAAGGCGATATAAGCGTAGGACTGCTGGTCATCCAAGGGAAACACTCCATCTAGTTAGATATGACTTCGCCCTCGAACCCCCATTGTAGTGCAGTAATTTACTCTACAACAGTAACTGCTTTTCATCCTACCACTATCCAAAGGACCTTTCCAGTATGGTAGGACGTTGAGGGAACAAGCGTTCCATCACCATAGCTCTTTGGGTCATTGTGATATGTAAGCCAGACAACCTCATCAAGGTAGCAGCTATCAGCTACCACAGTTACCAGCAATTCATTATTATCTTGGTTAGTCAGCAGATATCAGATAGTGGAGGAGGCGGAGGAATACGATGGAATTTCCAAACAATAACATTAGTGACAAATTGCCTGGAGATAGGTTTTCCAAAGTTTTAATGAGATGTCATGAACTCTATAAAGTCAACCAAATAAGTGATACACACGAATAACACTGGGTGATGGTTATTTTATTTGGTGAATTGACAGTGGATTCCAACCCACTGACTGAATGACAACGCGGTCACAACAAGACTCGTGAACATAATACCCCGCAGACTCATGAATGACAACTTTTGATTTCGTGGTGACAGCTACTTTCCATCACCAATCAAAGACGAACAACAATAACAAGAGCACCAACAACAATACAGAAATCAGGAAAAAGGTGTTACACTAACCAAAGACTGAGGAGTGATTGCCACCCATGGATTAGTTGGATTCAAAGTGAAGTTGCTAACCCCATTGCTCGAAGAAACCGGTGGATTAGTATACATGGTGGTATTGCCACTGCTAAGGCCAGTTATCTGATTCATTGACGATGATGCATGTACCGGAGCTGGCGCTTGTGGTGTTGACTGACTAGACATATTATTTGAACTTTGAACACATGGCATAGTTCCTGACCAGTTAACTGCTGATAGACTACCATCCGGAGCACGATATATTCGACCACCTTGACTAGTGGCATAATGATCACGAATTGAGAGACTTCCGGCTATTTGAGCAATTTTATCATCTAATGATATGGATGATTGAGATGATTGGACAGCATTTGCTATGTAGACACAAAAAAAAATCATTATTACTATTGATTGCAGAGTTGCTCAAGACATGAAATAATGATATAGGGGGGATGATTAGTGTGTCACAGTAGGGTTCAAACCAGAGGTCTCCAGGTTACCAGCCTGGCACCTCGCTGCTAGGATGAAACAACTATCCAATGCTTTCAATGGTTCCTCAACACTGATATCATTCTATGCTGAATAACAACTTGAAATCAAGAAATTTCTACAAACCTGGAAATTGAATTATCATAACACCTTGTTATTTTATCTAGATTATTATTTGAGAACTTTATGTTGAAATGATGGGGTGGATTGTAATATGAGCTGGAGTATCAGTTGGCAAGTATTTCATAACGAAGTGAACTAGATATAGATTTCTATCGTTTAAATAAATAAACCTTAAGGTTGCTTGGTTGTGATTGGTTGGTTTGTCTTATCCACCAAAACACTATACAGCTCAGAGTATAACTCAATCAAAACTCTCTAGAGGATGAGATATATAGCTGAAATTGTTTAGAATACTCTGTTAATTTAATCTGTATAACTACCTAACAACTATGCAAACTTGTCAATATCTGGGGTGGTGGTGGTGATGGTTATAACGCCAAGAAATCTACTGATGCATGGATATTTCCTTCACCTGATTCTCATGAAGGAGTCTAAGTTGAATTCATCATCAATATACTTTAGCTGATCAATTTATTGTTCAAGACTAACCAAATTCAGCAAAGAACAATGGCTCTTGATGGGAATTCCAAGGCATAAGACGACTCAAATAAGGAATGTCGCGGTTATGTTTTACTGTCATTTGAACAATCCACTTCCCATTAAATAGTTTTTTTATATCTATACGTTTCATATCCTCTTTTCATTGACAGCAAGTGGAGAATCTAGTCATCAGGTTCAAGAGGTTCTCTCGAAGCAATGAAAATAGTATCGGTAACAAACCTTCTAGAATTAAGTTATATCACTCACTTCTTGTTGTCTAACTACATTTCATTACATGTTAGATTTATTTATTTGATTGATAACACACAGTGATCTATCATTATAATTATTATATAGCACTGGAGGCAGTCATAAGTCAACTAACTAAATCCTGACTCAAAACTTATTCAAACAACTAATATATCGGTTGATGAAATCATTATTAGGCCTACACTTGTGACTGACCTCTACAGTCTTCAATTTTCAGGACAAAATATACAGATGAACAGAAGGAGTAGCAATCCGATCGTCAATATCCCCAATCCTCCTAGCAGATATATTTATCAATAGTTAGGAAAACATGACTTTAAGAAGCTTTAATCCTTCCCCTAACATATGGTGGCAACACGTGGATGACATATTTACTCTGTTCAAATAGGAACATATCGACAATTTACTCATACACTAGTAGGCGAAATCCAATTCACTACTTACAAGGAGGTAGAGAATGAACAAGCAGAATCACCTATGATAGATTGCAGAATAAAATGAAGGACACATGTTGACTGGTTTCGATACACATTCCAACAGGTATCTAATCTAAACTTCACATCATCCTATCCCACGTCAATTTGGGCGTCTTTAGTCAAGTGTCTAAATGATACAGCTACAAAACTGACTAGTCAGTGCAACGACCTAAACGAGGAACTGCAGCATATAAAAGAAGTCTGATAACAATTGATATCCTTCACAGTTTATTAACAAATTCGTAAGAAAACACATAAGAAACAAACAATTAACAGTAACAGCAGTACGAATAATAACGACAACACAAGTAGAAAGGAGTTCACAGCCTCCATTGTGTTATCTATCCTATAAGGAAGGAACATCAGAAACTCAACAAACCTGGAATTAGACTGGCATTTAAACCTACAAACTCACTCCGAGATAAGCTTTGTCAGCTGACCCAAGGATTCGATAGAACCAGTTCAGTAAAATAATCTAGTCTATCAAATTCCATGTAATGACTGTGAGTCATGTCAAATACATAGGTGAAACTAGCCAGTTGGGGTCAGTTAGAATAGCCGAACATATGTCACACTCGAATAAGATCAGTAAATCTAGGAAAATATTTGGCTATTGCAATGCATGCATTAAAACACAAACACACAATTCGGTCGGATAAAGCCACTGTATTTAAGTTGAATATAATTAGGTGGAGAGAGACACGGGGATTGATTACTGATTACTGTTCATTGGATCAATACGCAACACATGTAACTTCTATTACACGACGCAACACCCTGCATACCAGAGATAAGGAAAATGTTACTACCAATAAAAACAACTCATACAAGGTGACATAACTTTAACAATCAGATGTCGAAAGTGTTGTGATTACTTAATTTGATTTGGTTATGAACAATGAAAATTTAAAGGAAGTAGCCTCTTTCATCTATCTGGGCAGCACTGTTTCAACTACAGGCGACACAGCCACAGACGAAGACGTCGAAGCCAGCCGCGATCGGAAAAACAGCAAGACAGGTGTTCATTAACCTGAAACCAGTGTGGAGATCTACTGCACTGCACTCAGCATACAGTGTGAACAACATCCGGATTTTGAACACGAATGCAGTCAAGCCAGTGCTTCTGTATGGTTCAGAGACTTGGCGCGTTATGACAGGGATTCCAACAAACTGCAGACATTCATCAACAACTGCCTACACTGGCTCGTTACTGAAGATCAGATGGCCAGAATAATAAGAATAAGCAACAAGGAAATCTGGCCTAGCAACGAAACAACGAAGCAAGAGGTTATCTTTGAACAAATATGCAGACGACTATCAGGCTTTGCCCCACCGGTCACGACTTCTCATTCGAACTTCGGAAATACCTTACGAAGCTAGTCACCAATGAGTACCAGTTTGAACCGTTGGATTCTGACCCAGTGGCTGGTCACGGAACCTGAAAGTCATGGGTTCGATCCCTGGCAGGGTCGTGGGTGCACACTACTGGGGAGTCCGATACTACGACGAAACAGATGTCCAGTGCTCCCAGGTTGCCTCTGTTCCTCCAACTGATATCAGTCTACGATGAATAACAACTTGAAATATTTCCAAATCCCCATAGCTCCGTCAAAATTCTATATGTAACTTGTTCCACAGGAACAAGTTAGACTGATTTAATGCAGGATGGGGAGTTAAGATTAAGTAGGATATCATTCAGTCTAGAACTTACCATTGATCAACAACTTAGAATATCACGGACACTATTGAAAATAACATTCTTCGTTGAGACCAATTTTATTTCATTAACTTTACAACAGAAACCATCATGTGATAAACCAATAGTCGTTTATTTCTCTTCCCGAAACTGCATGGTTTCGTGTTCGACGCTGTAATATGTATTATGCAAGCCAAGTGATCAGGCAATCCATTGTCTGATGTTAACAACTGATATCTACGTTACTCACTATATGGTTAGACAACACATGGCTAAAACTAGGAAGAAGAAAACATCGATCGAACACCTGAAGCCTTTTATCTCTTCTGCTAAGTTTAATTGTCAAATTTCACAGCTATATAGAGTAGGACAGAGTATGAATTGTTGCTGAGATAGAAGTGCAGATAAACTAACGTCTACAATATTATCTTGTTCTTTGGTTAATTTGTAACAAACAACACTAGCGTACTGTAGAGATAGATAACCAATCAGCTGTTAGATATGTGTATGTGGGTACACTTACCGACGTAGACATTTACCAAAAGGAAAAGAAACCAGATTATTACAAAAAACGTACAAAAGGATACTATATCGATTTGAAACCAAGAATAGTGAGAAACAGACAATGAAGACTTGATCACCACTACATAGGGAAAGGTTTCCATAGCGATCGACTGAGTGAATTCATTGTTTACAGGAAGGGGGGGGGGGAAGCAAAAAGTTTCCTTTTCTCATTCCGCTTTTTAATTCCCTGCCAAATTATAACATAAAATTACACAGTAATTATAGGTGTCTAGAAAAATCCACCCTCACCTACCGCCTCGGGTCAAAACGCTTTCACTTATAGTCCTTTCACAGTTTGACTAATTGAGACAGGTAGCTGTGATTTGATAGATTTGTATTATTGATATTGGGTGGTAATGAGAATTGAATGTGAAATGAAAATCTTCGGGGTTATTCTGCCGGTCCGATATGCTGTACAAACTGAACTGTGGGATCCAGCTCCAGAAACATAGAATATACCATACAAGTGGGACACTTCAAGTTATCCACACTTTACAGCAGTGCAAAGAGAGAAAGTGTGGAATAAAGACGTTACAAAGTTCAAAGATGTTATGATGGATTTCGAAGAGCATCATCATCAGGTATAACATAACAACCTCAATCACAGACGACGACGACGACTGAAATCACTGACTGGATGTATTGATGCTCGATAATCGTCATTTAGTTACATACACCATTCTTCTAGTCTGTTATTCACTTCAACAAGAAACATCACTGCTCAACGAGGAAGACAGTAGATCACGGTATATATACAACATATATTCAAATCACATCAGTCTGTATAACTTTACGTGCAGTATAAGTAATGGGTAGTGCTAGCAGTGGAATCCAGGACGCCTCACTCATCAGCTGGACGCATTTGTACCACAGTGAACTATATTGTTCCCACTGAGACTCGAACGCAGTACTGATCACTTCAAACTCCAGAGCGTTATTCACTAAGCCACTTGTTGTACTACAGCTATAGTTTTTATGTTGTTACCCGGAGGATATGGTCTAAACGGATGGTGTAACCTGTGTGACGAGTAAGCTGTTACTAGCCAGTGAAAAAACCCAATGAGGTTTCTGTATTTCGAACGAAAAAGTAATTTCTTCCCCTAAAATGGAGAAACCTGATAGGTCGTTTCGGCTGTTGCTAGGGTGAACGCTCATTTGGATCAGTTTGAACTCAGAAACCAGCTGTAGTATAGAGACACGGATAAAATGTCTCTCTGGGGTCAACTCATGTACACAACATCAAGCGGGAATAGACTACTGGCTATGATAACCACTAAGTGTTATATAGCCCCTAAGTACTGTAAATACAAATAGTAGTCAACCAATAGTGAGTGAGTGACCTTCATGCAGTGATTACGCGTTCCTACTCATAATTCAAACCGCTCACTAATTTAATATGGCATATCATTGAAGCAATGGATTCAAACTTTTGGTCTTAGCAACTGAAGTGTATGTGTAGCACATTATAGCCTTCTATATGAACCTGTGTGGAGATCTTCTACACTCAGCATGCGGAACAAGATCCGGATTTTCAACACCAACATCAGTCAAGTCAGTGCTTCTGTATGGTTCAGAGACTTGGCGTGTTACGAAAGGGATTTCCAATAAACTACAGAGATTCATTAACAACTGCTTACGCTGGCTCGATACTGAAGATCAGATGGCCAGAATAATGAGAATAAGCAACAAGGAGCTCTGGGAACGAACCAACCAACAACCTATCATGCAACAAATATGCAGGAGGAAGTGGAGATGGATTGGGCATGCACTGAGAAGGCCGACCGAGGACATCACGCGTCAGGCCCTCGAGTGGAATCCCCATGGGAAGCGATGAGTTGGGTGTCCGTGGTGAGGGTGACATGGAGGAGGTCGTGCGAGGAGGAAATGAGAGCTTCTGGGCTGTCGTGGAACCAGGTTCAAAAGATCTCAGAGAACAGAGTGTACTGGAGACGTGCTACTGAAGCCCTATGTTCCATTAGGAACCCAAGGGACTAATAATAATAATAATAATAATAATAATAATAATAATAATAATAATAATAATAATAATAATAATAATATGAACCTGAGTCAGGTGAATGAATTGCATTTTGGTTTTGAAGCCTACAGCTACTTGCCTACCGCAGTTGTTCTTTTTAAATTAGTCATAATTAGCCTCTTTTCTGATACAATTCAACAATGAGCATACTATCCATTCATTAGAATGTACATGTTTTCACAACTGATAAATTCAATCAATGATGAAACGCCTATATTAGATCCTGTTGTTAACCAGTAAACGAATACTACTGTGAAAATCTGATTAATAGGTATAATGAGGAGTTAAATACTCCCGAATGGATGATTAGTGTCAATCAATAATAACTGGAGGTTACAAGTTATAATAACTAAGGCATACTTGTTACACAAGGAATGTCTATCATAAGTAATTAGCCTATGGTATAGCATTTTGATGTTCAGATTAACAGGCCCTACTTATAAATATACCATTACTCCTTGGAATGTAAGCACATTTAGTTGATGAGTTCCGAATAAATATTCTCGTGTACTAATGTTAGCTACCAATCCAGTACAAAGATGTAAGTTGGATTAGGTTGTAAGAAAATTGAAGGATCAGGACATCGTATCAGTTGATGAAGTCTCTTACTTTTAGTTTAAACCGTATATAGTCGAGGTCCACGAGATGAAAGCAGTCAGTAGCTGATGACTGACTCTTGGTAACATAACTGAAAGTGAATTACAGTAAGTTGACTCAATGCAGCTGTATGCGAAGTTCAACGTTGGTTTTGTGCATCTGTCTGTCAAATATTAGAAAGCTTTATTCAAGGATTGAAGAAAACTCTACAACACCATGGATACCGATAAGACTTTTTAAGGTTAATCATTGAAAAAGTAAATTGTCATATCTATTGCTAATATATACGTCAGTAATGTAGAATAGTCTAAAATAATACAAATAAAGAAAAAATAACTTACAAGCCGGTTTTATAGATGGAGTATATCCTGTACAATTAGTATTAGAACCAGGGAATTGATTTGACAGGATATCTGTTGATATACCAGTTGGTATCAATAATTGTTGAGGTGTTGTGTTGATCAAGAATGGATTAGTTGGGTATACAACTAGACTAGAAGGTAGAAAAGGTACAAGTGCTGTTGTTGTTGTCGTTGATGATGATACTTGATTAGACAAAAACAACTGGGGACTTCTTGTTGAATTCACTCCGAATGCACACGAAACAGTAGAAATATCATTAAGGTCTACAATAGAAATTTATTTAGTAAGCATGATTTGTATAGAACATCAATTATGCTAGTATTGAGATACTTTAATATGTGAATATGTGTTCAGTGGATTTTATAGCAAAAATATACTATGATATTCTGAAATATACGGCTACTACAACTGACTGATTGATATTGTAGTGGGCGTTGCTTATAAGAATGGATATAAGTAGTATATGATGAGAGGGTGGCAGGAATCATAGGGAATTACCAGTAATGGGTAAGGATTCCGCCAACAACAACGCAAGGGGTAACGCAGATGTATTACATTAGGTGCTGCTGATACGAATGTATGAAGAGTAAATCAAGAGAGAAACAGAAGAAGAAATGAAGTACATTTTGCAAATAACGGATTTACTACAAGGTGTACCCGTATGTAACGACTAACGTCCCAATTGTTGATGATCAACGTTATATCGGTCGTGTCTGTCTTCTGTCTCTTCAACAAGAGTAGTTATAAACCCATACTCATGAAAATCAGTAGTAGTAAATCGTTAATCGGATGACTGTTTCTCGTGTATTATGGAGTATTCGAGTTAATTTAGCTAAGATAGTCAAATTGTTCATATCGTTGGAGTTCTTACTAGCTAATTCAGTGAACTGGTTATACTTATAGCTAAATCAGGTGTACTTGATGAATACACACTCCATGGTGAGAAAATACACCACAGGTTTAGGGTTAGGGTAAAAAAGGTGAATAAATATGTCCCGAATGAACTCATAATCCTTCATGTTTACAGACTCATATCATACCGGTTAAATGTCAAAGTGAAAAATATTATCAAAGCTGACAGTGACCGCCTTCTTCCACTAGGTCGAGTATTCATATTCATTATTTATTATTAGTCCCTTCGATTCCTAATGGAACATAGGGCTTCAGTAGCACGTCTCCAGTGAACTCTGTCCTCTGAAATCTTTTGAACCTGGCTCCACGACTGCCCACAAGCTCTCATTTCTTCCTCACACCATCTCCTTCATGTCACCCTCACTTTGGACGCCCAACTAGTCGTTTCCCTTCTGGGTTCCACTCGAGCAACTGGCCTAGCCCATGATGTCTCCAGTCGGCCTTCTCAGTGTATGCCCAATCCATCTCCACTTCCTTCCAATGCACATTTGTTGGGTGATAGGTTCTTGGTTGGTTCGTTCCCAGAGCTCCTTGTTGCTTATTCTTTCTGGCCATCTGATCTTCAGTAGCGAGTGAGCGTAAGCAGTTGTTGATGAATCTCTGTAGTTTATTGGAAATCCCTTTCGTAACACGCCAAGTCTCTGAACCATACAGAAGCACTGACTTGATGTTGGTGTTGAAAATCCGGATCTTGTTCCACATGCTGAGTGCAGAAGATATTCATGTTCATTAGTGACAGAAAACTAACATCAGTATCCGAATCCCAACAGACGGAAAATCTTGCTTGGAGATACATTCTTCCAATGACCACTAAGAAGTGGACACCCCTTCAGTTCATACATTTCTGTCCACACCGTTAAACTAGCCCATAACAGCCTTACTACAAAAAATGGAGACTTGAATTCAGTGACTACATCTTAACACAAAAAAATAATTTATATTCGTCACTATCCTGATGTAGTTCCTTACGAAGACTTCATATTGGTATGTTGGCCACATAGCAGAGCCTGATTATTCATAGTTTATCAGGTATATAAACTGTATAGGAAGCGAGTAGACCTCCCTATTAGAAACCACATTTCTTTGTTAACAAGGCAGAGCAACTAGTCAACATATAGGAAGCACAAGTGATGACACTAATTATATTGCTTAAATGAAAGTTGGATTCTGTAACCGCGTTTTTAGGGTGAATCACGAGCCGAAGCTTAGATAAAACAGCATGGTTGCTACGGCAACCAAAAATGTTCGTATCGTATAATATGATGTAATCGATACCAAGACAAGATACTGGACAACTAATTTGTGTTGGTCTGGGACTCGTTTAATAATGCATGCACGACCTACGATATTATCTGGAAGCAAATACAGCATAAATACATCTCATCCGTGGCATAGTGGATAACGCCTTGGCGTTTGAAGCGATCGGTGCGGGGTTCGGGTCCCAGTGGGAACAACACTGGGGTGCAGGTACATCCAGCTGGCGAGTCCCAAATAGGATGAAACACGCATCCTGGATTCTTCTGCTGACCACAACCAACCAATTTATCATAATCTCATAGAAAGTTTTGATTCAATGATTCCAATTATTGTCAATTTGTGTTATAATAATACGACTGTCATACAATATCATCGATAAGCAGATGTTATCGCCGAGTTGAATGATGTCACAAGTTATAGGTTCTTATTAGAATCTCAGTAAATGTATCTTGGTTGTATTGTGTTCTCTGAGCTGGGTTGTTTAATCGTGAAGAAGCTTCCATCATCTTGCTAGACGACATCATCAGCACATGAGCACCAATTGGCTATTAAACATCACGACATTTCATCATTCCTTTCAATCCACGTGGATAACAACTATGGACATGAATTCAATTTCGACAATGTAGAAATTTTGGATAGAGGAAACACAAAGAATGTGATCAGAGAATTCCTAGAAGCTTGACATTCAGGTCAGTCAATCAGCAATCAACAGATGTATAGACATAGACCCAATCTATCAACCAATAAGAAAGATGATAAACCACGGAACAATCGAAGGGAACAACCAATCACAGAGCACTTCGACATGGCAAGCAACTAAATCACTCACGGAGAGATATTGACAGCTTACTTCATAGTGAAATTAGTGCTGATGACGTCGGCTAGGAAGGCGATGAAAGCTTCACGATTAAACAACCCAGCTCAGAGAACACAATACAACCAAGACCATCCCCACCAAGCTACAAATATTCTTCATTATTTCAGTAAATGTATTTAGGCAATGAGCTGTATCAATCAATTTCGAGGTTTTTAAACGATTAGAAGGTATCGGTGGGAAATCTGGCTAGATTTCATGTTTTTAGCCATTCGTTAGTAAGACATATCTGTAGCCTTAGAGGAACTCATTCCCCACTGAGAAATTCAGATCTACATCACTCAATGCTGTAGTCAACGTTTTTACCATTGAACTATTCAGCATTTGTAACACTAGGTTAGGGTAAATTACGAAAATAAACAAAACCATTGAAAACTAGGAGTATACAAATGCCTAGATAGAGAATATTTCAATCAATTTTCCAAGGATACACATCAACAATTAAAGCTCGAACTGCTTAGCTATTAAATTGTAAGCAAAAGATAAGCGTAAATTGATCAAGTTTTTTTTATTGTTTATTCCGTAGTCGGTATTCTGTTGATTCAATTGTGTGTTTCTGTAGCAAATCTTTTTCCATACAAACGGAGAAATGTTTCTTTACAGTATATCCAGTATCAACACGTTCTCTAATAATGTTTTCTATGAGGAGGTTCAAAGTATCCAGTGAAAGCCTTTGGTGAGATGTCCAGGGAGCTATGCTCATCGAGTAGTGTCTGACAAGGCTGCCCACTGTCTCCATTCTTATTCAATTTTACTATAGATATTCTCATAGAGGTCTCCATCTCGTCACCTGATTACACAGACATTGATCTAATCATAGGAGAATTTTCGTTAGACCTAGAATATGCAGATGATATAGTCCTTATTAGGTGAAGACGCTGACAAGATGCAGAGTCTTCTGATAACTTTGAGTGGGAATTTGAGAATGTTTGGGATGCAGTTCTCATCACCCAAATGCGAATTGTTGCTCCATGACTGGTCTTCAATGGTGGATTGGCTAACAATAGAGAGTGTAGTGATTGGGTGTATCGACCACTTCACTTACCTGCGAAGTACGATCAGACCTAGTGGTTCAGTTACCGATGAAATCTCTGCACGGATACAAAGGGCTCGATTGGCTGGCTTTCGCCAACTTACGCCACCTATGGCGTCGCCGTGATATCCGTTTCTTTATTAAGGGTCGCGTGTACTGCAGCTGGATAGCAGTCCGCCCTGTTCTACTCTATGGCTGTGAGACATGACCATTCAAGGTAGAAGACATGAGATGGCTTGAGGTGTTTGACCACTGTTGCCTTCGTAGTATGGAAAGTATTCCGTAGTGTCACCACATGAGTAACTCAGAAGTCAGGTATAGAGTTTTAGGGAGTAGAGGTAAATCAGTTGACGAGGTTATGAACCTTCATGGACTCAGATGATTGAGACACGTATTACGTATGCCTAGTCGCCGATTACCTCATCACACAATGTTGGCCGAAATAGGTCCAGACTGGAAAAAGGCTCGAGGTGCCCAGACTAAAACATGGCACCAATGTATGATCATCATCATCATCATTATCAACATAGGACCAGGCATTACTGCATAACGGTCCGAGTTGCCACACCTCATATCAACACATCAAGTAAAAAGGTAGTGAGGTGAAGGATGAAGATAAGTGAATGCAGTCAAAAGAAATATAAAGTACGAGAATAAAGGAAAGAGGAGTGACAAAATGGTGAGATTCGGTATGGCGTTGTTAAGATGAGGATAATGTGTGTATACATCTGCGCCAGTGACATCGGTTCTGAGCCATGTGATCACCTACAGTCTCCAACCACTGGTCCTTGTTGTCCCGTGGACCCCAACCACCTAGTCTGCATCGTCCTACATGGCTTACAAACTATCGATTATGTGACCATCTGTTATAATCACACCGCTTACAGCTACAGTAAAGTAGTAACAACATACCAAGAAGATTGTGTTCAGAAGACAGATTAGATGAATTCTGCACAGTAGACCGTTGATTCATTTCATTTAAATCACTTGTTGACCAAATAGAAGTATTATTGTCCAATTGTGATGGTGTTTTTGTGGATGTCTCGCCAAAAGACACCAAATCAAGAAATTTATCACCATCTGTTGAATGATAATACTGTTGATCTGTTGATGTGTTAGACATGCGTTGTTGATCTGATGATGATGATGAAAAGGCATGTTGTCGAGCTGTTGAAACAAATGACTCTAAGCGTGCCCTTTCTTCTTCAATTATACGCTGACGTTCTTCAGCAGTCAATACAAAATCACCACTATAGGAATTGGAGTGATCCAGACTAGCAGTGGCGGCAGTAGGCGGGACAACAGCAATAATTTCATCAGTTCTGGATGTTGTATTGGTTTGTGACTTTGGAGATGTGCTATTAGTGATCCTTCTGTAAGGGAAAAGAGTAGGGTGAGTTGACTGCAAAAATATAGGCAGAGGGGGGGGGGGCGTTGATTATTTAACGAAAGCCAGTTCAGAACTGCATATTATTATTGCTATTACTACTACCACTATTATTAGCAGAGTAGTAACTACTAGTGAACGCAGCAATACTGTGTAACTGTTGAAGTTGTCACAAGTCACATCGGCACATTAAAATACAAGCAGTTAAGATATATGACAGGAAAATGAGGAAATAGAATGTCATCAGATATGTAGTGGAGACTTAGTCGTACGAAGATATAAAGAAGGGAATTAGATAATGTGGTGCTGCAATTGTGCGACTGAGATTGATTCCCAATCATATCACTTAATGTCTCCGAACTACGAACTTCGGTTGTCATGTGGACTCCATCTGAGAAGTCTGTATTTCTCTACTCAGTTGACATCAACAATAAGACATCTAACAAACTGATGCTACATTTCAGGCTAGGCAAACAGTTTCCATTTGTCTTTTTATGGTTTCGAACTGTTTTGGCCAACATTTCGCATCTGGGCACACAGTAACTAAGCCTAAAGACAGACGGAAAAAAATCAAGTTAGAACGTCGCACACGAGTGCATCACTCCAGTTGGTCACAGTTCACATTAGTGTACAAAGAACAGCTGAATACATCTACGCCATTGTAAGCGATTTTCAGCCATGTCACCAAGAGTCCTCAACCCAACTATTCCTATCGTTTTGGGAAACCTGACCAGACATCAGTCTATACCTCCATACATGACTTACTCTAACATTCAGAGACTTTATGGAATATGACGGACCGTAGAGTAGATACAAAAGCATGAAAAAAAGTCAATTGATAACAAGAAACGAAGTCAGTAGCAGTCTTACAACTTACATTTACAACAAGAGTATTCAACACTTATGGTTTCGATTTGGAGGCACATCTGATGAAGTCTCCAGGTAATGAATCACACGATCTTTTAACCTCCATAAGGAAGATTTGATACATCAACAGATAATAATCCAAAACCACTGCCTGATAGTATTACGTCACACACTGATAACCTCTCAGTTTATCCCCCCCCCCTTCTATTTGGAATCGGCTTCATGATCCACATTCAAGTCACAGAAAGAAGTTGATCTAAACGGCGACTTCATTCGATGAATGGTGATCTGCATCACATTAGAACAAAGACTACTGGGCCTCTAAATTACTAACATGGCGTCGTACCAGATGGAAATAGTCCTAAGGAGACAACTATCCTACAACGAACAGGGTCCTCAGACATCTTTCTGGATTTCTTGAATGCAGCTGACATCTTCAATTGAAAAAAAGATGGGGGCTGACGGATGAATAACAAGGATGTGAGCGAAGAGACGTTGAACACTCAGAGTTAACTCATGATGACACTAAAGGCGATCAAGAATAGTGTATACCACTATGGCAATCGGTATGCATTTTCCAACATCACCAATCACAACAGTCGACTAAATAAAGCTTTTTGATACTGCTATTCAGATGAGCAGATCAAGGTAAGGCAAAAAAACGCTTTGAATAATCAATTCAATTGGCAGACAGTGAAACACTTCAACATATCTCCCTCATCAACGTTATCCAAAAACCAAGCATATTACAAACTTAACGAAGCCAGAAGTCGCTGAAGAAAACATACAATTGATTAAAACACTTCAAAGTTCCGAATAATTTACTTGAAAACACACTTCATCCCGTTAGTGGTTAATAAAATAGCTAATCCTTTTAGGTAAGCCTGTAAATACCGAGGTCACCTGGAACTATACAAATACCGCAGTGTTTTGATGTACAAATGTTCAGCCTTGCACATACATATAAGCTCCATGATATCAAGCACCAATATTGTTAAATTCACCTCTGAAGAAAAGAAATTATTTACATATTGTAGTTGGTTAGCTTCCATGAAGTTGTATTCCATTCACATTCGAAAATTTTAGGTATGAAATGCATAGATGGATTTTGTCTCATTATTTCGATTCTGCTGTATACATTACTAGTGACATTAAAAGTAGTTTAATATTTTCACTGAAATTATTTAGTGTAAAGTCTAGCATAATGAGATTTACACCCATCTGAATCATAGCAAAATGCCAAAAAAAAAGTTTCAAAATAGGAAAAACTTACTTATCAGCTTGCTTATGAGCTTCCAAGTATGCTAAATGCTGTTCAAGAGCCTCCAAAACTGATGGAGGTACCTGAGAGTAGAAAAAGAGATTACTGAATTAATCTATTTTAACAGTACAATAAATCCATCTTTCAAAATGCGAAAAGCAGTGTTTTAGCTCACCGTCATGTCAGCGAATAGGACAAAAGCTGAATTAAAGGAAAGGCATAGTTTATACTCAGTATTGATCACCTGGAAGAATCCTAACAAGTTGGCATCAATCTAGTGATCTCATCAAATCAGTAATTGGTGAATTTATCCCATGCACAGAATCAGGTAGTAAGAGTGTGTCCAAATGGCCCCTGAATACGCTTGAAGTATAATCTCTTACAATACCAACGTCTGCCTTGAACAGTCCACTTGGATGTGATGATAAGTGGTGTAACAGTTATGCATAAAGGCATGAAATATGCGAAACAGCACTTTTCTAGAGAGAAACTACCTGAACTACTTAAATGTAATTAAAGTAGTATAAAGCTTATCGATAAAACTGTGACAAAAGTAAGCAGTCGATTCAAATCACAAGGCTTATTATACATACATTCCCACTTACTGGTTGGAATGGACTATTCTCTGAATCCAGGGATAAAGGTGTACCGCCAGGTTCAGCAGACTGTAAGCAGAAAAAAAAATCAGGATACAATGGAGAACACATTACCACAAGCTATACGCATATGACTATTATATAAAGATAACTATTCATTTATTGGAGTTCTTCTTGAGGTACCTGAAAAAGAAGGGATAGTTTGTGACCGTAAAGCCCATGGGACATCCGCTTAAAGTCGGTCACACACAGCCTATCGGCAAGTTTGAGATTTTAGTATTTTGATTTGAATCTGACCATGAATTCTTGTTGCAGGCATGGGCATACCTCGAGGGGTGCGAGTGTGCCATTTTTAGGACCGACCTCCCCTTTCCCATAGGAAAGGCAGCATCAGCGTGGCACTACTGATCATCCCAGAAGCACGACTTCACCTAAAGACCCCCTTGGTAGCGTAGCAAGTTGTACCATAATATGGTAACTGCTTTTTATCTAATCACTATCCAACAGACCTTTCTGGCATGGTAGGGCCTCGAGGGAACAAGCATCCCAATCAATGTAGCTCGTTGGGTCATTGTGATACGCAAGCTCGACCAGCACGTCAAAGTAGGAGCTATCGGTTGCGATTCATTCATTATTAGTTTCACTACCTAAGACAGACGTACTGATACTGGGTGATGATTGAAGGAGAATTGGAAATCCCGGCTGTGGTAAGATTCCGACCAGAGACTTCCAGGTCACCCGGCGTGGCATATTTTATCAACCGAGCTACAAGACCCGACTGCTGACCAGATTTTAATTTCACTTCAGTCATCAAGGGTTTTGCTCTACGACTGCCATGTGAATTTGTGATGTATTGCTAACAATTGGCGAGTTTATGCATTGGTGCCATGTCTTTAGTTTGGTCAAGATGAGCTTTCTTCCTACCTAGAGAATCAACAATATAGGATTTCAAAGGTTTAGGGAAGATGACATTACAGAGACATTTGGCGCATAAGTAACTGGAATTTAGCCATACAACCCCAGCAGTCTCTCCAGTGATTCATTTAACATGTTCACAAATCAGAGCAATGGTTAAAGACTTCCTAGCGTGGTATCATATCCGCTCTGATCGTCACAAATCTTTTTCCTTCCTACTCTCTGATAACACCCAGTATAATGCATTAAAAAGGTAGACGGTCTGAATGAATGTTCACAGCTTTGCCAGTTAATTTATCCAGTTACGCATACTGCTTTCCACTTGATAAATAATGTACTTTATTTGGTGGTTTCACACACACACAGATAAATAAGAATGTAGTTTGAGGTTCATGGGGATTTTTAAAAAAAGATAGTAATCAACATGAAGAACTGTTGAAAACTTAGGAGCAATGAAAAGCAGTTTCATCCTAGCAGGGGATCACCAACCGAAGACCTCGGTGGATAGTCACACTATGTCGGAAATTGATAGAAATAGGAAACTGCAAACCATTGAACTCCAACCCAGTGGGCTACTGAATAGTTAACGTGTTCACCATAAAATCCAAAGTTACCGAGTTCGATCTCAGCCGGAGTTGTGGGTGCATACCGCTGAGGAATCCCATCCCGGGAGGAGACAGCTGTCCAGTACTCTCAGATTTTCAATGGTTCTCCAATACTGGTGTCAGTCCATGATGAATGAATAAAGGATATTTTGTACATTCATCGTGTTATAACGAGCAAAGAGATAGCTGATTAGTTAATGTTTCCCATGTATAGATGTGAATTAAATATTCATCCTTCAACCTTGATCAGATGTTGCATTGTTGACATTTTACTAGTTTATTATTAACTACTGTCTGAGAAGACACTTCCTTCTATGTTAAACTTGGCAATTATTGGTTCAGTAAAATGATAATATAAACAGCCATATTTTCAGCTAGTTCTCATCTTTTCATGGAGTAACAAATCTTGTCTTCACAGTCTTGTCTTGTATGTCTTCCAGAAGTGTGGGGGGGGGACAGTATTCCACTGTCATATGTCAGAATATTGTGAGTTTATAACGACAGTTCCTAATTCGTAACCCAACAGAGTTAGGAGAACTCTCCAATAATAATAATAATAATAATTTACTTCAACAGAGTATGAATGAACTGGTAACATTGAGATATGAACAGACTGACGAAATCCCCGTAGAACCTTGCAAAGAAGTACATCGCTTTACAGTTGTCACACTTTACAGCAACATGCAAAGAACAAGTGAGTGCAGGAGAAGAGTGATATCAAGTATGTCTTGAGAGAAGAAAGAATTTGAAAGTCCAGGTCAGTGAAAATTTAGAAGATATCAAATAGCAAATAGATCCGTGTCATTGCGATTTATTCAAAGCCGAGTCATCAAGAATCTTTAACCATTGATGCCTATTATTTCGAAGATCGCAACCAGACAGTAGCCTAACACCTCCATACTAATGCCAAGTCTTCGAAATCTGTTACTCTTTGGAGAAAAAAGAAACAAGATACCGGAAGAATTTCAATCGCCAACATACGATAAGAGGCACGTTGGATCGAAACCGTATAATAGAACAGAGACGCCTGTAGCGCAGTATACTCGTCCTTTGACAAGTAGTCGATTATCTCGCCAGGCGGTGCCACACATTAGTTGAGATTTCATCAGTAACTGATCAATTTAAGTTGATGCAACCCTCTCTCAATCGGTAAACTAGCACTAGCTACAAACGAGTCCTGAAGCACATCATCTTACATTTGACAGGTATATTTATGATCAATTTGGTTGATTTCCGTCACACTACATTTTATTATCTTTTTAGAAAGATACATCATTATGACTTCTGCATCAGGATTGAATGAGATTCTATCTAGATGTTAAGATGGATACTATTTATCCACTGAATTATTGACTTGAAATCAGATCCACAAACAGAATAGAATTATACGTTATGTGTTTCTACTGGGTCCTTTCGTTCCTGTCGATAACTGGTTCTTCTATTCCCAGTGGTACGATTTGAGGATAAGACATCTAGTTTGATTCTACTTATCTTAAGGAAGTATTCGGATCACATGATGGTTAGTTTACAAGGGATTTGTTGGCTAGTTCTAGAGACTTGTACCATATGCCACTTCGAATCATTTTACTTGTCAGTTTACTAGGAACTAGAATAGGCATGATACAATACCTATAGAACAGTGACTAACAGACAATACAGATACAGGCAGAATGAGCAATAGAAACACTCTTAGATGTGATACCAGGAACTTTTTAAAATCAGGGTTGATAAAAATCTTACTAGGTACTGTACAAGAAGAGTACCACATATGCTACTGATTAGTATATGAGTAATTAAGAGAGCATTTCGCCAATCAACAGTGCATATCCAGTCTAGATCGAAACGATCGACCAGTTTAAACGCCACTTTGCTGGAACTGAACTTTTTAGAGGTGAACCCAATTTAGCCTATTTCAGAGTGTCTCATTGTTTACACCATCTTGAAAACAGTGACCTAGTTGGACAAACTGGTACGACCTAGGAATCGAAGCAAGTACTTGTAAGATGGTAAGTCTGTGATGAAAATGAATTGACTCTGGTACACCGTTAATGAATTTGACCCCAGATAAGCATCATCTCGATATAACTAGTGAACAGAACTGTTAAGAATAGTCTAAAACTACTACTCATATCATTTAGTAGCACGTAATGTGTAATTCGTCTTGACAACATTTCTCGCGTTGAGTAGATTACAATTTTTGTGGTTTAAAGGTTTCAATTTCCAAAGCAAAGGAATTAGTTGTGTTATTCTGATCAGGACTAGAAAACTCCTGGCCACACTTGCCAATGAGTGTTGGAATTTCGCTACAAAAAGACGAGGAATCTGTATCTGTTGATAGATAAGTCAACGTAAAGTTTATCACCTGTATCATGTTGCCACACTTCACAACACTATGCAAGGAAGAGTGAAGCGGTGGCTCAGTACTTTAATAAGGAAGTTGGCTTTCAACTAATGGATCACCAGTTTGAATCCCGCTCTAAGTAGCAATATCATTAGCCCTTATACACAATAGTAATGGCTTATAGTTATCTACTGCATGAATGTCCACAAGGTTGCTGAGTACTGAATTTCAATTCGATGCGAAGAAGTGCGAAGAGGTAGAATGACATAAAAGTTGACAAAAGCATACGAGGGTTGAGAGAATAAAGATATTAAGGTTGATGAAAATATTCAAGGATTCGAGCACGAGAAAGACTGTACAGGTCTGAACTATTGTGACCGATTTCGAATCCTATTATCTAAAGTCTGTCATTGATTGCCATCTTCTTGAGGTACCCACCCAGTCAGGCAGTCTACACATACCTCTCTAATCAGCTTAGACCAATGATCCAAGACTTCATGGAATCACTTAGTGTCTTAGTCTTCCTACGCCTAGCCTTCTAACTCAATCATACTTCGGCTAACACCAGAAATCCAGGCAGGTAGTTGTCCAGTATGTGTAACTCATATCAGCGGGTGAAGGTTGTAAACCCATTAATCGGCGTATTTTGCTTACCTCGTACAACCTCAAACTTGCTTATATCATGATTTTACCATGCGCAAACAATACCATAAAGACACCTCAGGTCAAAAACTTGTAATCTCTTCATACCTTCGACAGTCATTCCATACAGCTGTATAATGGGACAGTGAGGACTGCAGTGAAGTATACTCATCTCTTTACAGTCATTCGAATGATTTCCCCAGTGCCAGAGACGATGATGCAAGTTGTCAAATGCTAAACAGGTATTTCGTATCCTAGCTCAAATTTCATCAGTAATCAATCAATTTGGGTTGATACAACTCCCCTGCTATACGTAAACTGACACTAGCTGTAAACGACTCCAGAAACATCATCTTACACTTGAAAGGTACAAAACGCACGTCAAGCACACTCAGATTTCTGTTCAATACATTCAGAAAACTCTGCATTTTCGTCTATAAAAAAAACTGTTCTGGGCATAATTCAAGTCAACCAGGTGCCAGTGTACATATAAAGCCAAGGTAAATAGGAAAGGTGATAGTGAATATTCACCGCAGATACTATTGGTTGTCATCGTTGCCCACGGCAACACTACATAAACTCTTAATTCGAGTAGAAAGCTCTGATTAGAATTAACTTCTTGTTCGGTAGACGTTTCATAGTCGATAGAGTCAAATGCTGTCTTCAGGTCAAGAGATATGAAAGTGTCGACCCACCAGTAAGTATGTCAGCATCCATTAACCTGTCGAAGAGTAGAAACTTGGTAGATGCACCCCTGCTCAGGTTTAAAATCTGCCTAATCTTCTCGAGTTTGTTGTTCTTGAGCTCCATTTATCACATGATCATGGATTTACGGGATATTAGGCACGAAGTTGGTCAACCATATTTGTTTATGGTTATAATGAGATGACTACTCTCATTTTTTGAAAGCTGGAATGATCAAAATTCCAGACTAGACTTTGATAGGACCGCTTCTGATTCTCAGCAACTAGACAGTACCTTCGTTACTTAATGTACTAATTTCCTACCTACTTTTCTGAAAACTACTCATGAGAATCTGTCAGGTCTTGATGCTTTGTATCGACTCAGATTTAAAACAAGCATCTTAACTTCGAGAACGGTTAGAGAATTGGTACTCACGTTTCAGTTTTGGGCTGGATACTGCGCGACTAAAGCGTTTCTGAGGGCCAGTTGGACTGCTCTTCAAAGTGTCCTGCCCAATGTTCTAACCATTTGCCTTGAGAGACTGTCACAGACCCATCCTTTTGGCCGACAGTTTCACTAACCATCACCTTATTTTTGTTAGTTTTCGTAATACACCTAAGTAATTGCTCAGTATAACATAATGCCGACAGTTTCTTCATCTGTTTTGCTTTCTCCGCCTAACCCTTGCTCGTAGTCATCGAGAAGCTAGCTTCGCTCTTTATGTGGTCATAGCCAGCTGGAATATTCTCCTTGGATCACAATCCATTAGGATGAAGTTTCAGAAATTCATTGACTTTTGTTATTTGATACTTTTAATCTACTGTTGCTATACTGAGTCGAATCGCTCATCTGTTGGCAGGTAGACACCTATGCGGATGTCTCGAGACTGCCTGATTCTTCCCAGTAGGGAAATCACTTATTGGGGTGCAGGTGTATCCGGCTGATGAACCCCGGATGGAACGAAAGCGTCTCCTGGATTCCACCGCTAGACACCAAGCAGACTCCGCTAGCTTTTACTGTTTGTTGATACCTGTAATTCTCCGATGTTATACAGGGTCGAATTGGTCGACTTCTGTTGACATTGGGCTCCTGTGCAGATGCCGCAATATTGCTTGAATATTTATTGTTATGATTAACTTGGTTTTGGCTAGCAGTGGAATGCACGTCACGCGTTTCATCCTATCTGTAAATCATCAGCTGGATGTACTTGCACCTCAGCAAATGATGTTATTCTCACTGAGACTCGAACCTTATACCTATCGCTTCAAACGCTAGTGGATAACGCTTCGGTTTTCGAAGCAATAAGTCCACTGGCTTTTGTTAACATCTGGGAAAAGAATACTGGTTCGTCCACTGCTGTTTCTACAGCAAACTAAACATTAAGCCAAGAATAATATAAAAGAGAATTGAATGTATCATTTCAAAGCAGCAGAGAGTAACAGGTGAGATAACAGAGTCATGATAGTTAATCGCCTTTTGTACAGTAATATCGAAGTTCCTAATCAAACGTTAAATATAAAAAAAAACGCTAATGTACAAGTCTATTTTTATAAATGGGATAATTCTATCAATTGATTATCAACTATAATAGTGAAATAGAATATATCGATACAATGAGAATCTTTTACTCATTGATTAGAACACATCGATCTAGATAACACTCTAAGAATGAACTTTGCACGGAAATCATTAATGTTGGGATAAATTTTACAGAACTATCATAGATTTCACTGCCAGTATTGATATTTCTAGCCTCGAACATCAATGGAATATGAGATATGAGCTTCGACAGCTTGATATGAATTATTTTAAAAATGACACAGAAAATTCTTATCTCTAACGATAACAGATGAAAATACTTCAAGTTGACCTACACAATAAAATAGGTGAACCAATTTTCGGTGACATTAAACGCTCAATGTAAAGACGAAATCAGATGACTATGTTGGTACCATAGGATATTATCAGTGTGTAACTACTACTAGTCAAATTGATTAGTAGTATGTTGAAGAATGAGTTCAATTCTAGTTAGTACGGTGGATGCTGTTCACATTCATATATTTAGAATAGCTAACACTTTTCATATGAAGAAAGAGTATCAGCTAATAATTGTTTGGTGTTCACTGAGAGCTGTGAGGTATATGCTTGAATGTTTGATCACCAGACAGTTAGGCGATGTTATCAGTGAAGAATTCGCTAAATAAATTCACAAAAGTGTGAGTATCTAGAGCAATTTGTCGTTCAAATGTACATAGAAGGAAATGAAAACCAGTTTACAATATATTCCTTTCCCTTTAATATAGTGATTTATAGACTGTATAGTGTAGAAAGTGCAACGCTATGAGTGAACCAACTAATAGTCAGTAAATGAATCAATCAATGTTAACATAGGACCAGGCATTACTGAACAAAGGTCCAAGTTGCCACACATATCATAAAAACAAGTAACGAAGTAATAACATGAAAGATGAAGAAAGAAAAGTTGTAAAAGAGGAGGAATGAGAAAATTCAGAATTTAGTATACAGGTCAAGATGTGGATACATTTGGGCCATCGACATCGATTCTCAGCCATACCACATAAAGTCTTTAACCACCAGTTTCTGTTGTCATATAGACACCAACCGACTAGTCTGCATCTCTCTAAATGGCTCAAGTCAACAGTTGAAGACTTCATACATTGATCCCATGTTTTAATTTGGCCGCCCTGAGCCTTTTTCCTGCCTGAACCTACTTCAGTGAACATTGTGCGTTGAGGCAAATGGTGACTAGGTATGCGTTACACATATCCCAGCCATTTCAGTCGATGAAGATTCACAACAGTATCAACTGACATTCCGCTCCTCCTAAACACTCTATACCTACTTCAGCGTTACTGACGTGGTGACACCATGAAACACGGTCCATTCTACGACGGCAGCAGTGGTCAAACACTGGAAGCCATCTATTGTTCTCAACCTTTAATGGTCATATTTCACAGCCACACAGTAGAACAAAACGAACTGTAGCTTAGTACACTGGACCCTAAACAGGATATCGTGACGGCACCACAGATAGTGTAAGTTAACGAGAGCCAATACGTTAGTACGGTCTTGTAACAACACACATGATGTTGCTTAGGACGAAATAAGGCTGAAAGGAAGTTATAAACTGACAGATCAAAATACATGAAGTTGAAATTTTCTAGGCTGCGCCGTACACGCGTCCTCAATGTGAGTGAAAAGAGACAAAATCGACTTAAACAGTGTTGAGAAATACGAGGATTTCTCGACAACTTGACCCAGAAAGGCCAGGAGAAAGTAATATTTTTAGTTTTTCCATTCTAAGAATTTAAAATGCAGGATTCTGAGGTTTGTCATCGATTGTATGGGGGACGGAGTGTAGCGCGTAGAGTCTGTAGTGAGTTTAAGGATAGAGAGTGAAGTACTGGAATGTGTCAACCTCTTTACTTATTGGGGAGTTGTCACCAGTTCGAACAGGTTGGCTGACGACGAGATTTCAGTTTCGATACGAAAGGCTTGTTTGGAATTTGTAAGCTTGCGTCAGTCCTGGCGAAATATCCAACTGCCTACAAAAGGATGAGTATACTGTGCTGCAGTTCATTCTGTTCTGTTATACGGCTGTGAGACATGGTCGTTAAGAATAGAAGACATGAAGAGGTTACAAGTTTTCGACCATATATGTCTTTGTAGTATTGCTAGCGTTTAGTGGAATCACGGTGTGAACAATGCTGAGGTCAGGTGAAGGGTTCTAGGGAAAGAAGGCAAGTTAGTCAATGCGATTGTGAACCTTCGTCCACTGAGATGGCTTGTGCATGCACTGCACATACCGACTGATACACCCCCTACCTTGACGTGTCATGCAAGGGGAGGTTAGATTACATTGGGAAAGGGTTTAGGCTGGTCAGACCAAGACGTGGCACCAGTCGATGAAGTGCCTGACTATTGGTCTGAGCCATGTGGGGAGATTAACACTGCCAGGCTGTGATTCTCCAGACGAAGAGAATCAGTGGTTGAGGACTGTTGGTCAAGTGGCTAAAGATTTCCTCTTCCCCCATATATTGTCTACCTTGATGGTATCAGTCTTGTTCTTTTTATACTACTGTGAAGTATGGCAATTTGAAGTGAAGCCCATATATGCAAGGGCAACCAATTAGGTTTCTTAATTTTGGTTGAAAAGGCGAGTTTTCATAAAATAAAGAAATCTGACTGGTTATTTCAGTCGTTGCTAGGGTGGCCTTAAAAGTCATTCATATGCAAGGTTCTACGTTGATTTTGTCGATCTATCAATGGATCACATGACATATTAATAAGGGGTAAAATTGATCGAAATATTATGTACATGTACTGTTGACAGAGGAGAGGAGAGGAGAGGAGAGGAGAGGAGAGGAGAGGAGAGGAGAGGAGAGGAGAGGAGAGGAGAGGAGAGGAGAGGAGAGGAGAGGAGAGGAGAGGAGAGGAGAGGAGAGGAGAGGAGAGGAGAGAGGAGGATAAGAAATGGACAACATGGATTACCTCAGCAATCTTGACGAATATATTCATAACTTCCATTCGTTTAATAAAATTCTTATATATATCTAGTGATATACGACAATCACGTTTAGACATTGTGAAATATCGACCTAGAAGTAGGAAAAGAAAGCACATAAAACATCAGGTCAGCATACGGACTGCATAATGTTTTAATTACTGAAATCATGCAAAACTTATCTGACACACGTAAATACATATGAACGTTTTTCCCACTGAACACTCCAGGTGGTATCCCTACTCTGTCATCATAATCTCGAGGGATTCGTCAAACGAAATAATACGCTATAACAACGGCGCTATGCGAACGTAAAATAGTGGATTAACATCAAGAAAAAGAAGTAGTGAAGTAACGAGAGAAGTGGTTTCATGTTCATCATATCCATCTTACCTTTCATCTGTAGGAAACGAAGAAGAGACAAGAAAAGACGTAAAAGCGATGGCTTGTGGATTCGAGTCTCAGTGGGAACAACATTACTCACTGGGGTGCAGGTCTATTCAGCTGACAAGCCCCCAAATAGGACGAAGTCCATTCTTCCGTTTCAGTTTATTTTAATCTTTTAAATATATCTTCTAAACGTCTTGTGTAATCTCGTATCTTTTTAAAATGTTTTCAAACAGAACAAAGAAAGAACATTATGCCAGACGCAGATGAGTTACAAATACACAAAAATACAGCTCATCCCTCGGATACTTATATCGAAATGCAGATTTTGTTCTGACTGAAAGAACTACAATCACGAAAATTTCACTAGATATTCTATTCATCCACCCGTCCAGACCAGACGCTAGTGTAGCATCAGCTGCTTATTTCACCTTACTGTCTTTAATACTGTTATCATCAGTACCATTCAGATGGAGTGATCATTTCGTGTAAAGAATATTACATGCTGAAAATTTCATATTACTATTGTTAAGAAATTGTTTGTTTTCACTAACTGATTAAGGGTTAACGACAGTAAAACATTGCTTTCCAAACCTAAGTTGATAATTGAGGCAGGGGTTCGAACTCATAACCCAACCATTTGAACGTATTATTATATACAAGTTATCAGTTTGAGCCACAGAAGGATATGAAACATCAACCAACAGATTTCTGGTGGTACAATTTATTTAATAGTCGTTTAAAGATACCATGAATAGTGTCAGCAAAGGTCAAAGGTCAATGTCAGTTAGTAAGAATAACACGTATTGAACTAACTGTCTCGAAAGGTAAAAATACTACAATATAGGAGATAATAATTCAATATTATGTAACAAAAAATATGCAGATGTAAAATAATGAATGGAATTCAAAAGTGTGCGTGTAGTTTTTCTAAAGTAAGACGAGGTATGGGGAACACGAAGACCAAATATGAGAAAAGGATAAGGATTTCAGTCAATAAAATTGTACTGGAACAAAAAGGATGGAAGTAAACTATAGAATGAAAATTATTAAGCAGAAATCACAGACTAAGGGTAGTAGTAGTAGTAGTAGGAAAAATGCTTATGTACACAGAGTTTAGGATTCTCTTTGTGAATAGTCAGCCAGAGCATCTGCTGCACATAGGAGATATAGTCAAAGTTTTTTCAATTAGCTTGATTTCGTTCCATATATTAAATCGAATGAGTTATGTATAGATGCTGAGTGATCTGACACAATAATGTGTCCCAAAATTCTATTTTCAACAAGTATACCGGTACACTTTCATCAGCTCGTTCAGAAAGTATCCTACTGGTAGTAGAAGCAAGTAAATGTATATACATACATGGATGTTGGCGATAAATGGGCCTTAACACCCACAACATATCCGACTATTTATCAAAAGATGAGTATACTGTGCTGCATTCTCTTCTGTCCTGTCATACAACTGTGAGACATGGCCATTAAAAATAAAAGGTGTAAAGCAGTTACAGGGTTTAGGTCAAAGGTGACTTCGTAGTATTGCTCACGTTTCGCTGAATCACCCTATGAGGAATGTCGAGGTCAGGCAAAGGATAATCTAGGCAAGATAGGCAAGTCGATTGATGAGGTTGTAAACCTTCATCGACTAAGGTGGCTTGGATATGTTCTGAGCATGTTATGCTACAGGAAGCTGGATTAGGTTGGAAGAGAGTTCACAGTGGCCGGACCTGTTCTTTGTATGTGAAATGTGTCAACTTCAAGTGATGCATTTGTGTGCAAGGTTCTACGTTGATTCTGTCTGTTTGTCTGTCTCTCTGATCCTTATCTTTGACATATTGACAAACGACATCTTATGCAGAAGTAGGATGAAGGGAAGTAGCAAGGAATGCTCTTTAAACGGCTTTCGATAAACGAGTTTTTAGAGCTTGACTTACTGTGTCACCCTTGGATTTCACATCTATACACACATATTTTTTCAGGGTAATATTGAGTGGAACATCACACTTAGTTTTCATATATTTATCAACAAATAAGGGTGGGTGGTATCCATTATCTACCAGGATTAGGTTTTTGAAGAATCTCAACTCCCTGTCAAATGTAAGTTTCTTGCATATGAGACAAATGTTTGCTGTAAGATAGGTAATCAAGTTCATTTTCTCTATTCATATGGAGAGAATTGCTTGTTTCGTTTAGGTCTACAGGAAATTGATGTTTCAAGGGATTTGTCAATTCCGTATAACACCTGGACATCTCTAGAGAGGCAGGTTTGCTTGATGACTCGACTTCAAGTGTAAAACTAATAGATGGATGAATAGGTAGTGTTGAATATCTTCAGGATTTTATTTAACTCAACTATCTTTAGCCAATAACCAGGTTCGAACCGATGACCTGCTAGACCAACCAATCAAAACCCCCTAAATTAAGATATACCATTAAGTAAACAACATATGAAGCACTCAATATATGACTTACCAATCAGATTAATCATACCCTCATTATATACAGCATATAATCGGATTAGATCACGATAGAGAAAGAGATGAGCTACACGAAGAAGTGAATTCGATAACTCGCTTGTTGTCGCCTGTACAATAAAACATATACAATAAAAAGTGAATAGATGAACAAATAAACAAACGAACATGTGTGTGGCGAAGAAAAAAACTAATAGCTATGAACAGATTTCTGCTGATATTATGAATAATTAAATAATATTTACGATATATACAATGACACAATTACAAAAAAGTTGAGAAGAATATATACTGGTTACTTACATTGAACATTAGTAGTGCATCCAATTGTTTCTCAATAACTGGCAGAGTTTTCACCAGCTGTTAAGTCAACAGTAAGAATAATAAAGACAACAAACAGAAAGGGATGGTTACTAGATTATATGATTATTACTAGTATTAATAATACTGGGTAATAACTGAAGGTAAAATGAAGAGCTAGTTAGCAGCAGGATTCGATCTAACAGTCGGAGTTCAACCGGCTGCTCATCAGGTCTTCACTTCATTACCTTCTTGCCTGCTATTTAAATCTGTGATATGTAAGTCTCCGTTCATCGAAATCCTACTGACTGCTCATCCAAGTCAGACAGACAGAGAGATACATAATCACGGTAAAACTTCGCATATAAGTGCATCACTTCACAGTAATATACAAAGAATAAGTCGGTATAAAACGATTGATGTCAAAGTAGACGACAGTATGTGAGATAATAAACAGTCTGAAGATAAAAATGAGTGCAAATATTCAAGCTTTAGATGATATCTATACCACTGTGACCGATTTTCAACCATGTCAACAAGAGTCCTCAACCCAACTATTCCCGTGGTCCTGGTCCAGGCAGTCTATATGTCTCCTAACACGACTCATACCAACAGTCAAGAACTCCATGAACTGGTGCAATATTTGGTCTATCCGCCCTGAACCCTCTTCCGATCCAATCCAACTTCCCCTCACAAGCACGTCGAGGTAGGCAGTGGCTCGGCATGTGTAGTATATGTCCAAGCCATCTCAGTCGATGAAGGTTCACAAAACTCATCAGTCGACCTGTATGTTTTGTCTAGTACCCTTTGTCTGACCTCAACAATGCTTACGCAAGCAATGCTACGACAACTATGATCAAAACTCCGTAACCACTTCACATCTTCAACTTTTACAGGTCATATTTCACAGCCGTATAACAGGGCAGAATGGACTGTAGCGCAGTATACTCATCCTTCGATAGATAGTCGGCTCCAGAGATGACACAAGTTGGCAAATACAAAACAAGCCAAAGCAGATCCTAATTTAAATGGACTAAAATGAGAAAGTGAGGACCATCGCACTGATTATTAATGAAACTAATAGAGATAACCATGGTTTGCAATACTGGTTCAACCGATACTAGATGACGATTGTAAAAAGGCCGCTGGGTTTAAATCCTACTGCGACCTACGCTTTCATTTCAACTTTAATACCGGTCTCATCGCTCAAGGTTGGACAACATAAAATTGGTTATTCTCCGGTGATCGATGTATGCAATCCAGTCCCACATGAGGTTACAAGTGACCCGAATAGCTCAGTGGTAACGTTGCTGATTACAACACTGAGCGGTGCGCGTTCCAAACTCAGAGGGGACAGGAGTTCCGTCGAGGACGTAGATACGCCTTGTTGACAAGTGCTAACAAGCAGGAAACTCAGGTTCAGTGGAATTGTCTGCCAATCACTCCCAACCATCAAACACTGCATTGAAGTTTCTATCAGTCACCTGTTTAAATTGCTATTCAAGTTGAAAGAAAACACCAGTACAGTGGCTCATTGGTTTCCATTCTGTAGAAAATTAATACGATTCAACTTTGTACGGAAATTTATGTGCAAGGTTATGAGCCATACCTATTACGTAATGGCTTGTGATGCTAACCAGTTGTACAGGTCAAGACGGATGGAGCTGGGTATTTTACTTGTGACCCATTGTTTGAGAGTTTAGTTCAGAAGTCACACCCCTATTCTGTGCAATAATTGATGGGGTTATATTGTATGTGAATCGTGTAATTTCGACGCCTATTTTCAGGTTAGTTGTGGTACACACAACTGCTTACTCGGATGTTGAGAAAGCCTCCAAATACTCATTTTAAATTGTAACCGTTTTGTGCTCTTTTTTGAGTCAATGTGATCGACATCAGTAGACAAACGACGGAAGATAGGAAGAGGAGGTAAAACAACATAGAAACGCTATATGATGATTAGGGTGAAGATAATATGCGGATATATCTACTTCACTGAGATCGATTGTAAGCAATACACCCTATAGTCTCCAACTACCGATATCGGTTGTCATGAAGATCCCAATCGGGATGTCTGCCTTCCCCTACACAACTCATGTTAACAGTCACAGACTACATGGACTGATATCATGTTTTAGTCAGCTCGCCTTTGACCTCTTTTTCAGCCTAAACGTGATTCAACTAATATTGCAAGACGATGACAAGGGACGTGTAATACCTACCCCAATCCCCTAAATTAATGAAGGCTTACAAGGCAACGGTGGTGGAACACCTGAAGCCTTTTAATGTATTTTGTTCTTTATAGCCATGTTTTAATCATACAGTAGGAAAGAGTAAACTGCCATGCAAGATACTCGACCGTAAGTAGACAGTCGGATATCTCGCCGACACTATAGGTGATCCAAGCTATAAAAAGTGAGTTTAGTGTTTTCATCCATACAGAGATGTCATCAATCACTAACGCACCAGGATTGCCCTGACTTCCAAAGTAAGCGAAGTGGTCAACACACTGAACCACTCGACTACTTACTGTTATATGAAACACCAGTGAAGACCAGTCATGGGACAGTCATTCACATTTGGATGATGAGAAATACATCCTAAACATTCTCAAATTGACAATTAGGGTATCCAGAAGACGCTGAATCGTGTCACAATCTTTACTTAGTGGGACTGTTGTCTGAGCAATTTAGGTTTGCTAAGAAGTCTTATTTGGAAAGGTTGAACCCTGTAAAGCCAAACAGGAGAGGGCATGAGGTCCTCTATAAAGAAAATTGAATAAGAATCGAGAGAGTGGATATGTTTGACGAACGCCACTTGACGTACACAACTCACCTGATTCTTAACTACAGACTCTAACATACATATGGGTATTAGAATACAGCACCTTTATCAACAGAGTGATTTACTTACTCGGGACTTCTTCCAGTGAAACCAATTCCCATAAGACCTCTCGGTAGACGGAGTCGAATGTACCTTCTAGACCAAGGCCGTAAAATATCACATTGTAAACTGATTCTCTTTTCAACTTGTTCACCCAGTATTCAGCACATGAAAACTGCTGAGACAGCATATCAAAGCACACAGCAAGCTAAAGCCACTCCCAGAAGGCCAAACACACACTTAAAGACCCTCAAAATACCCACATAATACTACAACTGAATATGAACAGCCCTATAAGGAAAAGGTTTCAAACTAAATCCTCACGACTGAGTGGCCAATATAGAACAAAACCACACTAATTAAATTGCTTCACATCTCTTGATTCTGATGTCATCAAAAATGGACTCCTACCATATAGAGAGGCGTTTGATTTGCTATCCAACAACCAGCAGTCTAGGATATGGGAATTCATCGACAACTTAGAACTATTCATCCCACGTTAAAACACATTTCTGGCACTTTGTAACGGGAGATTACAAGTATCAAAAAACAACTAATGTCCGTTGCACAAGAGGTGATATAATGGCCTAGTGGGTAACGTTTTGGCCTTTGAAGCGATAAGTACGGGGTTCGAGTCTCTGTGGGAGCAACATCACTCACTGGGATTCAGCTACATCCAGCTGGCAAGTCCCAAATACGAAGAAACACGCTTCCTGCACTTCAGTGCTAGTCACTAAGCAAACTACATAATTTGTAACATTGCGTAAGCAAGATTATACGATATCGAAAGAACGGTCAATAACTACCAGTCGATGCGAAAGTTTAAAGCACCTAGACACTGAGATTCATTGTATGTGTTTAAGGAACTAATAGTTTCCAATCAGTTTTCCCAAACTCTCAAACTTACAGATCCATTCAGTCGAACAGCACGTAAACGGCTGTTGACTGGAAACCAGTCAAGAAGAGCACTTTCTGCCCTACAACTCAATATTATGCCCACACCAGGGAATCCACAAGAGCTAGCCACTTCATCTTCGGATACTTATAAGGCGAATTTTGAAGATTCACTACTATGGCCAGTTGAGGTCAATTTAATAGCCTCATCCAGGTCATGTATACGTGTCGCTGAGATAAAGCATACACCCATGGCTATGTATTCCAGAGTTTTGCCGAGTGAAGCTTGCTGTTCGGTTTGACAGAGAGAGTTGGGATGTTGACAGCTCCCACATAAATTACGTGCCAGGGTCCTAGGAATGAGGCTTTAATGGTCTTTATCGTTCGCAATGGTTGCAGAGTGAGAAGTTGGGTAAGGCGTAAGAGGTTTAACATTTGTATCAGGAGACGAGATGAGAGGAGGAGACAGAGTTGAAGAGAATAGATTAGGTTTGATTTGGTCTTATGTACTACTGGAAGCGTGCGGGTGGCTGGTACTTCCCAGCTCCCTATGCCATGGAAGGCTATTTCTTCTTGGAGTATTTGAAAGAGGAAGGATAGTGAGTGGTCACAGAACACAAAGGACATCTGCTTGAGACTGGTCACACACCTGAGACCATCGAATAGCTATTTTGTCTTGGTGTGCAACTCATTAGCATTGAGCACATACGATCTTGCCAGGAACTGAAGCTATGGCCTTACATTATTGACACCTATTTGTTTATCACGTGTTAATTCTACATTCCAGCTAAATGGATCCAATAGGTTGTTTGCGTGATTTGTACATTACCTCGCACAAGTGATAACTATAGTACAACAAAGCAGGTGTGTTGATACTGCCAAGATGTATTCCCTGAAAATATGCTTCATTTGAAGGTCATATAGGGAGGAAATGGTCAGTTGTTGCACAGTGATCCAGCAAACCTAAATCTCATAGTTCGGGGTGGGGTTTGAACTTATAACCCGTTGGTTGTAGGTCAACTGTTTACAAATCAGTAAACCACCCACAGCCCCAATCCTTGTGCAGACAAATGACAAAATGGAAGTGGATCAAGAATGTCACTAACAAACAGTAGATAACAGAACCTACTTTATCTTGTGGCATTGCCCGCATATCACTATCGTCTTTCCTATAATGAATAATGATAAAAAGAGGATATTTTAATCATTGATAAGAGAAACAAAAAGAAGCGTTATATTTATTCGGATAGCAAAAAAGAGTGGAATAAACCTCAAGCTTGTTACTATCTATATATTTGATCATAAGTATGTTTTATTGATAATATATGCTTCATACCATTCAAAGTGTAAACTGCTGATCCAAAATTGACAAACATCTGCCCTTTTACACTCAACCTAGGCAGTAAACCGATGGAGGTAGTTCTAAAATTTGGCTATTTGAGTAGTTGTGTGGGTGCTGACGACTGAAGTGTGATTGATGGAAATTCTAACTGTATATCGAAAGCTAGAAGGACAAACGCTAGAATACGTTACATTTGGGGTTGTTGATAGGTTAGTTGGGTGTACAACGCGTTGACCGACGCGGTTCTACTCTACGCTTTTGAAACTTGGTCTCTTCGATCTGCAGTGTCAAAAGACTCTTCTTATACGACCAATTTTATCGCCATAGGATTCCTAGCGTTTGATAGAAACATCATGTAAATAATTGTGATGCATAATTGTCCATGTTTGCGGGTGATGTAGATAGTTCAGTGAAGTCATCTTGAAACACCGAATTCAGCCAAAAATACCATCTCAACAGCTTCCGTATCGTCAACTATTTGATAACCCTGGAGCTGGTTGGAAATAAGGGAGAAGTGGTCAACATGTGAAATAGCAACGTGCGATCAAGGGTACTTAGTTGTGTTGGATTAGCATTTGCTACTGTCTAAAAGACTTTATGTGTGAGACATCAAGCAACTCAGTGGTTTGAGACGATAGCAGATGCAACTTGGAATTGAAACCAGCAGCAAACATGTTATAGCTTTCTTATTTCTTCTCTTATCAACGAAGGTTTGGAAAGCTTCGTTAAAGTGTAAGCTTGAGACTACTTCCCTGATAACCCTTCCTATTTTCTTGTTTCCTTCTACGTCTTTTCTAGCGTTGTTATATTAATTTCTATGGCACGTCTCTTGGCGCCTATGTTGTCACAAGGCTACAGCAAAGATTTATTAATGAGTTCCAATGAGGATAGAAACTAGGTGCAAAATGTTTTCGCATCAATCGATTCCTAGCAGTTAACGCCAAAACACAGTTGATCAAAGTGTTGTATCCAATTAGGTGAGTGGATATATTAATGAACATCTAGTCACTGGATCTCAAGTAAGGCACAAAGACTTTGACAAATGCACTGATTACTCACTATTCAACGATGGATTCGCGCAGACAGTGGGGTTTATCCATTCTAGTCTATATATGTGCAGAACCGTCCATTCTCCTCATGCCTATACTTTGATTAGATCAAATGAATGAATTTTGAAAACAGAATGTAAAGACTCCTGGTACTTATTTCAACAACACTGAACATAATACACTAATTTTGTACAACTAAGGGAGGTGTTTACCTATTTAAACTAAAAGTGAACTTACAATTTGAAGGTTCGTGGAGAAGGAATGATTTTTAGATAGCATGCATCACAGACTGGAACTACTTGAAGAAGCACTGAAAACCTGGGACCACCGGACATTTGTCTCATCCTAGTATGGAACTCCCTAGCAGTGCCCACCTACGACCCCACCAAGAATACTACCGTGAAATCAATCAATCCCCATAAGCCTTCTAGTTAAATCAGGGTCAAGTCGTATGCTTCGCATCGAGCAGAAATCTGAGTATGTTTGGTTGGCATGAGTTTCGCACTTGTCAAATGTAAGATGATGCTCCAGGACTGGTCTGTTGGAAATATTCCAAGTTTAGTGATAGCAAGTGAAGAGGTGGAATGTGTCAACCTCTTTAATTACTTGGAGAGTTAGATCAGCCCGAACGAGCTGATTACTAACGTATTCTCAGCTCGGATACGGAAGGCCTGTTTAGCATTTGCCAACTTGCGTCAACTGTGGCGCTGACTGGCGAGATATCCGACTATCTATCAAAAGACTGTTGATCTGAGTCATGTGGAGGATGTAGAGCACGTGGCTAGGGTCCCCAAGCCGAAAGAAATCAGTTATTGAGGACTATTGGTGACGGCTGAAAATTGGTCACAATGACGTAGATGTATTCACTGGTTGACGCTTTCTACGATTTGAATATTTGGACTAATAGTTATCTTCAAATTGTTTATTCTCTCAAACAACTTTGTCTATGTTATATCTTTGAACACCAACGGTTATATATTCCGAACGAATTATAATACGTACGTTTAGCTGACAGCTAACTTAGCATGCAAGAGCCACTGACTTCAACTCCGAGAAGAATAGAGAGATGACCGAAGCTGGATGATGGGAGAGTTTATTCCTTTAAGAATATAATAATAATAATAATGAATCCCAAAACACGTGAATAAGTACACACATGAAAAATGACCTTGTCTTAAATTTGAGGCACGAGAACTGACGGTCTTCCATTAGGTCTCTTGAAATGAACTTGTTTGAACATGTGCTTCAAGAAGTTAACAACATGAAACTCATTTCTTTTCATCATATCATATAACACTAAGGCGTTTCGAACATCTATTTTATTTTAATTTGAAACTCCTTAGATATCCACGAACTCAATTCCCATACGAGAGTGAATGTCGGATAGTTATATCTTGCATAGGCTATTGTTAAGTTATTGGATGAGAAGTTCCAGTATGATAACTGTCGACCATGTGAAGAACAAGAATGCCTTGTTATCAATAACATCTGATGAAGATCAAATTAAATTGGGAAGTTGACTAGAGTTGGGGGAATATAAAACATCGTTAAGGAGGCTATCTGAAATAACCCGTGGTTTGGTAGACTGTTGTTATTGGGAGATGATTGAAACTGAACTGAAAAAAACCTGTATCATGTAAGGAGGACTCGAACCATGAGTGAATTCTAATTAAATATGATAGTATGCTTTTCATAAGACATGTATATTCGATTATTTATTAATTCTACATGGAAGTGAAAGTGTAAACATCGAAGGATTTTCCAACTGTCCAATACTTTCTGGAGATGTCAACAGCTTTGAAGTTGAACTGTCAGTGGTAAAGCTCAATCTGATCAACATATTTATACTACAGCATAAACTTTACTCAATATGTTACGGTTTATAATGAAAGTGGAGGTTGTGCAGATCACAGTAGATGAAGACACTTTCGCATACTTATTGTATGAAGGATCATGTGATTAAATGTTACACAATTATACTGATGGTTGTATGTTAGACAGAATGATTAATTATCATAGATAATCACAATAGATCAATAAGATTGTTTTTTGTTGTTGAAAAATCACACAATAAAAAGTGATAGAGAAAATTTAGTCGATTAATCTACATGCTACTATAAATAATAAAAGTAATACCACAAATTCCATTAAATAAAATATGCATAATCTTGTCCTTGTGATTGAATCATGTGAACTCTAGAGACACTAAGCAACGAGAGAGAGAGAGTGCAAGAGAAAATAGTACCAAACACAAGTAATCAATGATTTCTTCTATTTTATTAACTAGTGGTTTTGAAGAAGACAAAGATACTATTTATTGTGGTATATCTCCCTTATTACAAAGAACAAGATCCGGATTTTTAACACCAATACCAATCAAGTCAGTGCTGCTATATGGTTCACAAACTTGGCGTGTCATTAACAGCTATCTACACTGGTCCAATACTGAAGATCAGATGGCCAGAATAATGAGAATAAGCAACAAGGAAATCTGGCTGCCAATGAACCAACCAAGAACCTGTCGCTGAACAAATATGCAGAAGAAAGTGGAGATGGATTGGATTGGGCATATACTGAGAAGGAAGACGGTTTGGGGACATCATGCGCCAGGCCAGCCAGGCCCTCGAGTGGAATCCAAAGGGGAAAAGACGAGTTGGGCGTCCGTGGCGACGGTGACATGGGGGAGATCATATGAGGAAGAAATGAAAGCTTGTGGGCGGTCGTGGAGCGAGGTGTGCTACTGAAGACCTATGTTCCACTAGGAATCCAAGGGAAAAATCATAATAATAATCGGCAGCCAACATTGAACATTTCCATACACCTTATGGATTAACGTATCTGCTGATGTTTTTACAATGAATAACAAAAACAAACAGATAGATAAATCAATATTGGAACTGATATAGAAGTGCAACACTGGGCAGAAGTATGTGAGAGGAGAGAGAACAGATGGATGAAGGAGTTAATGAGAGTATTGAAAGATTCGAAAATGTCAAGGAATACATACATCTGAGCTATAGTGGCCAATTTTAGGTGATATCACCAACAGTTTCCAATCATTACTTCCTAACGTTTCGACAATGAAGCCAGGCAACCCTAACCTATATATCTCCCTCTCTCTCTCTCTCTGTACGTTCCAAACTAGCAGTCAGAGACTTCATCAATTGGTCTAACTTCTCTTCCCATCCAATCCAATCCTACTTCGGCTAAAATCTCACACCGAAATGGATGGTGGCTCGGCATTCAAGCCACTTGAGTCATTAAAGGTTAACAATTTCATCATAAATTGAGATCAACTGATTTGCCTGATCCATGACATATTGATTATTATTATGATGATGATTATAACGCAAACAAGGTACAACAAAGACACCAAGAAATGCACCATACAAAATAATATAACAACACTATGAAGATATAAAGCGAAGGGAAGTGGATGAAAAAAAACAATAAGAATAGAATGATTAGGAAGACGTCCAGTATGATACATTCAAAACAAAACATTCATTACTTTTCACCAGCAGAAGATAGAAGGAGGCTATAGCATAACCATCACTGCTTTCGATTCTGAGCCATACTTGATAACGTCTCAAGCCACTGACTTGAGTGCTCTCTCGGACCCCACCCACGGAGTCGTGATGCGCCAACAGATGCTTACTCGACACAACTATCTTTCATCCCACGACGCCATGGCATACAGTGACCACTCCTCCACTTCTTCCATCTAGTCCCAGGGTTAGCAAACAATGAACGTCGTGGAAACCGTTGGAACGACATGCGTAAAACATGTCCAAGACACCGAAGTTGGTGTATCCAGATGATTTCACTTATTGAATGACGATCTCCGATATGCCCAAACACATGCTGTCGCACCTCAGAATTACTTACATGGTGTTGTCACCGGATATGAGCAATCTTACAGAGACAACGGTGATAGAACACACAGAGTTGTTACACATCTTCAGCTCAGAGGGACCAGGTTTCCCAGACACAGAGCGGAACTCCTGGCATTAGAGGGTAGTTAACCCGACGTTTTACGGTCAGACTAGTGTTGGGACGACGCCAGAATTGGGTGAGATTGCGGTTGGAAATCTCACCACTCACACGACTACGCAGACACACGAACTTTTCGACTACTTCGAACGTCTCACCACCAATGGTGAGCGTAGGCAAAGGCTCCTGTCAATCTTGCCAAAGTACTTTGAACTTCAACGGTTCAAAGCACATACCATACTTAGGGACGCAAGCGTTACTAAACTATACGGTAATGGGACTTAGCCTAATAAACATGACATATTGAACACGAAGCTAAGCCAACTGATCTTTGCAGAAATACAAGTGAGCATGAATTCTAAAGTATATGGAAGCCTCTAAAAGATGAGACATTGAATTGTAATCACGCTTATCTAACAGTCAAAGAATTCATATTTAAATCTTTATCATAAACTTAAGTAATATTATCTACATGAACAAACTGGAGACACGTAGTGGCACTGAAACTTGTAATCACTCTATGATCAGTCTCATATCTCAGAAGAGAACTCAGTTGTTATTATTATCCGTTGCTTAATGATGAATGGAATTCTATTATTCTCTCTTTTCGAATTTCTGACCTCAGTCTGGGTTTATTATCACTAATCCATTTATGGTATCTTACATTCATTATGATAGACACAATTTCGTATAAGAATTTAGCATAGACACAAATGATTCGAACTTCTTCAGTGGTTGTTCACAATCTCTTGTGAGTTTGTGATGACAACTTTTCTGAAATCAGTCAAACAATCCTCACAATGCTCCATAGTTTCCTACTTCTATGACTGAATGGTTGATGCGTTCACCATGAAACCTGAAGGTCCTGAGTTCAATCGATGGCTAGTGGTGTCGTGACTGCGTACGGCTGCTGAGGAGTCCTCCAACAGGATGAAACAGTTGACTCATGCTTATAGGTTTTCAGTGGTTCTTCACTCAAACTGATATCAGTGCTCATAAACTTTAAACACTGCAAACAAATAATTTGCTTTAGTAAAGATGGGTAGTGGCTAGCAGTGGAATTCAGGATGCGCATTTCGCGCTATATAGGACTCGTCAGCTGGATGTACCTGCCTTTCAGTGAAGAATGTTGTTCCCAATGGGATCCGAACTCGGAAGCGATCGCTTCAAACGCCAGAGCGTTATCCACTACACCACCGAACCATGATAGCCATTTCTTGTGCGACGGGTATAGTTTTAGTATAATTGCTTGTATTTTACCGTGGGAACAACGTCACTCACTGGGGTGAAGGTACATCCATCTGATGAGTCTCGAATAGGACGAAATAGGCATCATGGATTACACTGATAGCCACTATCCATCTTTACTATAATTAAAAAAGAGGCAATATTGAGGCATCCGCACAGGAGCCCATATGTCAATAAAGACGGGTCAATTTGGTCCAAACAACGATAGTATAATACAAGCAATTATACTAAATGATTTGTTTACCAATAAAAGCGTTTACTAGAATAACTTACCCACGTTTTAAACGGCAAAAATCAAAAGCAACTTCACGATACGAAGCTGCTTTCTCATCCAAATATTTGGCATAAGGTCGTAGAAATAAAGCGATCCCATGAGCTGATTGCAGAGCATTGTTTAAAAAACAAAATAGAGATAAAAATCAGCAGCAGGAAGAAGAGGCAATAATATCAGGCAAATTATAAAATAATGAAAACACTGAACTAATTTAAATGATGGAGTGAATTAAAGTCAATGGAAGTTGGAAAGGGAACTCAATTCACAGTTGAACTGGAACTGGTGATCTCAACTGTTTTAATGATTGAAATATGAAGGCCAATCATCATGAATGAAACAAAATCTTGATTCCCCTACATAAATATCTAACTGCCAATTACAGTTACTCTAGATAACTAAACTAATACTTACAACAATTATTCTCAAACTAACAGTAGTCTTCTAGAATACTTGTAGGCAAAGGGAATTGCACTACACAATCGGTCATCCTTGTGGATGACAAATTTACGCTTCAAGTTATAAAGTTTTATCAGACTAGCAGCTACCCCCTCTCAACTGGTTATCACCTGATAGACGAAACAACAAAAAATCTTGAACAAAAACGTATCATTTCAAGTTGAAATACTTTAAAAAAGCTTAGAAAGATAAGATGAAAAAGAAATATGGACAGATATTAAACTATCAGTTGGAGGAACATTTGAAACCTGAGAGCAGTGAACAGCTGTTTCGTCCTGGCATGGGACTCTTCAGCAATGCGCACGCACGACCCCACCCATAAGGGATCGAACCCAGGACTTTCAGGTTCCGTGGCCAGCACGTTACTATTGAGCCACTGGGTCAAAATTCAATGGTCCATATTTCCAACTCCTGTTAGTTCACTACGTAGCGCAACCATCATCCAATGCTGTCGGTGAGTGCCTGTTGTCATGTCCGACTTGGTTGATTCCACTGGTCACGACTTCTCATTGGAACTTCGGGAATCCCCTCTCGAAGCTAGTCACCGGTGAGTCATGGGTGTGCACTGCTGAAGAGTCCCATACTAGGACTAGGCAGCCGTCCAGTTCTCCCAAGTTTCCAACATTTTTCCAACTGATGTCAGCCATTGATAAATTCCAACCCGAAATCAATTAATAAACCTCCAGATATTAAACTAGTCAAAAATGGTGTGCTAGGAGACAGAAGAAATAAACAAAGGCTCATAAGATGTGCACAGTTTTGAACCTAATAAAGACTGAATATCAAATTGGCGGTTATCATGAACTGACATCAGTTGGAAAAGTAATGAAAGCCTCGGAGCACCGGAAAGTTGTTTCGTCTTAATATGGGACACCTCAACAACGACAGCTTTGGACGAAGGTCTCATTATATCACGAATTGGCATTAATAGAAAAGTTTGGACCATTGAATCCCCACTCAGTGGCTCAATGATGAGGTGCTCGTCATGAAACTTGAAGGTCATGGGATCAATCCCTGATGGTTTCATGCGTGCGCACTGCTGAGGAGTCCTACAACAACAGGACGAAACAGCTGTCTAGTAGTTCTCCCACTGATATCAATCTGTGGTGAGCACTATCTTGAAACCAATAAATCCCCACAATACCCAAAATTGAAAGACTGAATATGTTTGCATTCAAATGATTGCTTTTACAATAAATCACTAGGAAACAATAAGCATTGATTACTATCATTCTGAAGACTCCAATAGAACAACCCACACTGTTCTAAACACTAAAAACAAACAGTGAAGAACTGATTTCACATCTTGCTCTGACCCCAACGACAGGGGTAAGCGGCAGTTGAACATGTGCGCCAAATGGTTCATGTCACTTTGTTCGTTTCCAGTTTACATGCTTGACAAATGACTGACTGACTTAGTTTCACTGTCTAGAACCCTGTGCCTAAACCCAGCATATCACAGGTGGTTAGTTTCAACAATCTCCTTGTTGCTATCCATTCTTTTAACTGAAAAACAGCGTTATAAAATGACTTAGTATGCATGCAATTAAAGCCTCGATATTACTTGACTATTCATGATATTGTAATTTGCTTGGTGGTGGTTAGCACTGGAATCTAGGGTGCGTGTTTTACCCTAATTGAGACTCGTTAGCTGGATGTACCTGCGCCAGTGGTCTAGTGGATAACACATTGACGTTTGGAGCGATGCGTGTTGAGTTCGAGCCTTAGTGGGGTACAGGTACATCCAGCTGACGTGTTCCAGACAGGACAAAACGCGTGTACTGGATTCCCCTGTTAGCCACCACCACCAAGTAAATTACAATAGACTTCACTGAACTGATAGTTTTGATCAGGAAAATAATTGATTAAAGTTGTTAGGTTTATTAAGCGAGCGTCAAGAAATGTCTTAACGAGTCATTAAGAAGGAAAATAATGGATTATGAAGATAACTTGATCGTGAAACCCCACTGCGCAATGTTAACCGAGGTGAGTTTAATGCAGAAGAATGTCATAGGCGGCCTCATTTCATGTAGTCTCCGTCTGTCGATCTGAGCCGTGTAGACAAATGCAGACTTCCATTCTTAGGAACTCTAGGTTAGGGGTACGGTGTAGATGCATCCGCACACTATCTTCATCTTAATCGTCATATCGCATCTTGATATCTGTCAGTTGGATGGAGGTGATCGGCAAGAATGTTGGCACTTGTCAGGAAGATGTACCTGCAATCTCTATGGAACTGATATCCCGCCTGGGATTAGAACCCGCGTCGTCCAGTGCTACGCAGTCAGTGACGTTACCACTAAGCAAGCTATTCGGGCCACGACCCACTAGTTACCCTCGAATAACCAATCAATGCATTTCGATATTGTTTTACCACCTGTCAACCACTGATTTTCTAGTGATATCGATCACATTCTTTCATTTTGGCGTCTTCTATCTTGATGCTGCTGGGTGTTAGATGCGGCAATTTAAGTCGTTATGCAGTAATTTCAGGTATAAGGTTGATATTGACAGACTGAAATCACATAGTGTTCAACATACTGCACACACATTCATATAAATATCAGAATCTATGAAAAGGGTATACGCATATCAAGTTCAATACAACATGAATAACTAGGTATTTTGGACTTTGTGTGTACGCAGATGATGAGTATGTTGCACTCTATTTTCTACTCTACAGTAGCACTCGATGTATACACACACACACACGCGGTTATACATGAATATTTATTGTTCAATGTACCACCTAACTGAGAAAAGTGAAAATGTGCACAGTCGGGCAAAATTATCTAACAAATTAGCTAATTAATTCCAAGTGATAAAAATGATATGACAGAAGAAGCAAAAGGTGAACAAACCAACAGAATATCTTGATCAATAAAAAAGGTGATCAACAACCATTGATGATCACACATTTTTGTAGTCAGAGCAAAAAAAAACAGATAAGAAATTGAATTTATAATCATCAAATGTTAACTCAAGTATCAGCATGAATGTGACTACACTTGACCCCTCCACCTATCAGAAAAATAATCAATAGACTCTTAGATAATCCACTACACGTACACTACTCTTTTTTATGTGAATTGAATTGCGTAGATATGCTAATCAATGTCAACACGTCTTGCAAAGAGATCACGTGGATATTGTCTTGTGAAGATTACTAGAATTCTGTAAGCATTGTCGTCCAATTCAATGATTATAGTATGCCTGTCTGTTATGTGATAGTCGGTCGAGATGTATCATCTTATCTGATAGTAATAACGACAAAGAGGTACTTATCAGAAGTATTTCAGCCCGAACGAGTTGACTGCTGATGAAATCTCAGCTCGGATAAAGAAGGTCCGTTCGATATTTGGCAAATTGCGTCATCTATAGCACCGACTGACGAAACATCCAACTATCTACCAAAGGAAGAGTATACTGTGCTGCATTCCCTTCTGTCCTCTTATACAACTGTGAGACATCGTTAAAGTAGAAGACATGAAGTGGTTACAGGGTTTTGATCAAAGACGTCTTCGTAGCATTGTCCGCATTTGGTTGAAATCACCGTGTGATCAGTGTTAAGGTCAGACAAAGGTTACTAGAAAACATAGGCAAGTCGATTGATGAAGTTGTGAACCTTAGTCGACTGATGTAGCTTCAACATGTGTTGTGGATGCCAAGCCACCGCCTACCTCAACGTAGCATGCTAAGAGAAGTTGGATTATTTCCATATTAGATTGTTTATTTGATATAGCACACGGTGAGTGGTGAATTATTATTTACTGGATGACATTTTGAGCAGAACTTATTACTAATATTCATACCAAGGAAATCATACAACACTTTCAAAATTCCCTTATGGTAGTAAAATCACAAAATCTTTGTTTACTGAATCAAAATCTAACACTTTATAGGAATGACTTATCATACATTGCAGATAATTGGAAACTTTTACTACCATTCAAATAAACAAATGAAAAACTGTTGGCTGATACAAACAAAGTTTGAAAGTCGTATGGTAACTTTGATATGAATGTGAGTAATAAATTATTATCGAAACGCCATTAAGTAAATAAATTATACTGTATTACTGTGTATCATAGTAAATAAACAATCTAAAAAAGGAATTACAATCTATCACAATGCTCAAGGTTCCTTCATACACTAATAAAGTTGCGTGAGGTTGGAAGAGGCTTCAAGGTGGCCAGACCAAGACATGACACCAATGCGTGAAGTCCCTGACTCTTACTCTGAGCCGTGTGGGGGAGATGTAGACTGACTGGTTGACTGGATCCCAGAGATGATACGAATCAGTGGTTGGAGATTCTGTGCAACATGGCTGGAAATCCGTCATAGTAGTGCAGATGTATTTACTCCTCAACATCTTCTGAAGCTTCAATATTTGCACAAACAGTTATCTTCAGATTATTTATTCTCTTACACAACTGTGTCTACTTTGGTATCAGTCTTATCTTATCCACCCGTTCGTTGTATACTACTGTGAAGTGTGGTAACTTGAGCCGATCCACTTGTGTACGAGGTTCTTCGTTGGTTTTGTCTGTCAGTCTGGATGGTGTGATATTTCATCAGCAACCAGCCTATTAGAGCTAATAAAACCTTCCCAGGTAAGCGAATTGATCAACGTATTTAACCACTCTACTCCTTATCCTTAAACTAGGAGTCAGTACAGACCAGTCTTGGAGCATTTTATCTTACATTTGATAGATGCAAAACGCATTCTAAACATGCCTAGATTTCTGCTTAAGGCATCTTTACAAAACCTTACATTTTGTTAGCGGTCTTGTTCAACAAGGCTATATTGTCTTTTTACCTGGAGTCAGCTAAAGTAACTCTAGGTAGTCGGTCAATTCTTAAGAAGTGAAAATTTTGTACAAAGGTGACTGCATTTACATTCTATAGATGAACCAGTAAAACTAGTAAGCTACAGCTAAAGTCGTACTTCTGTAAAGTTGTAAGAGTGATCAAGTGTGTGTCGTCTTAACGGCAATTTCTTTAAGTCAAAAAGTGAACTGAGGTAAAAACATTGAATCCGATGTGTTTACCTAAGTGTAGTAGGGGGGTCGGTAAGAAACTGACTTGAAACTCATGATAATGTCGACCCACATATAAATCCTTCGTGTAGTTTAACATCATTCGTGTATTGGGGGTCTAATGCACACGATTATGAGTCAAACTAAAGCTCTAAATACTCTAAACTGTGTGAATAAGAACTAATCGTCTACAAAAACGTTTTGAACACAATGGAGTGATATAGTTTGAACCAGCATTATTAGTTAATCAGTTAATAATGTGATACAATGGGGCTCACCTTGAAAGTTATTGCGATCATGTAGACTTGGAACATAAAAATGACAATTATTCGAAGCAATGTACTGTGAAAACCTCTGAAATAATGACCATAAAAACAAAATATAACTTTGGTTGATTAAGGGAATCGTCAGGAGGAAAAAAACGGGCAAAGTAACATGTTACTAGTAATAATAATAGTTAGCTATTTAGATTTACCAAAAAATTACCCAGTTTCAGTTTATGTATGGAACCATACATACAATTCTATTTTACACAAAAATCGATACGAATATTTTAGTTTATAGATTCTATCTCTTTGATAAAGTTGAAGAAAACAAGAGGAAAGATAGTAGAATGAAAGGTGCACATTTTACTTTACGGCTTATTATCACAACTGTAACTTACGCCACCGCAACATTCGACCATCTATTAGGGGTTGAGTTCGCTGCGTTGTAGTTAACTTTCTTGTATTATATAGTTGTGAAACATGGCCACTAAAGTTAGAAGGACATGAGAAGCTTTCGAGCGTCCGACCATAGTTGTTTTTGTACCACAAGCCATGTCACGGTGCCAGGATGTCAGTAAAGTAGAAGTCAGGTGTGGAGTTTTATGGAGACGAAAGTCAACTGATAGATTTATGAAGCTTCGTTGGTTCAGGTTGCCGGGATATGTGTTACGCAACCTAGTCACCATCTGCCTCGTCGCATAATGTTAGCTGAAGTGGATTTAGGCTGGAAAAACGCTCAGGGTGGTCAGACAAAAACATGGCATCACCTCATGAAGTCTTTGGATGTTGGTTGAAGTCATGTAGCGAGATGCAGACTAGCTGGTTGGGTCCCACCTGACAATAGAAACCTGTCATTGGAGATTCTAGGTGGTGATACGGCTCAGAAACGATGTCGGTGCAGATGTATCCATGTACTGTCTTCATTCTAACCGCTATACTGAATTTAGTATTTTCTCATTCCACTCTCTCCTTTACTGCTTTTTCCGGTTTCTCTCTCTTTCTTCATCTTTCATCTCATTACTTTGTTGTTTGATGTGCTGGTGTGAGGTATGGCAACTTGGACCGTTGTGAAGTAACACCCAGCCCTATGTTGATATTGATTGATTAAAATTGTTCCATCGTTTCTTCGTTTTATATGGAGATCTAGAAAGTCAAACTGGCTATTACTTTGAAAGTACAGTGTAAATCTGATGTTAGCATGAGCTTCATTGGGCTTTTCAAACGGCTGGGGTATATGATTCTAATCACTACAAATGTATCATCAACATACTTGCGGTAATGTGCATTCCTATCGATCTCTGATCCCAGTTATATTTCTTTAAGGTAAGCTGTGAAGATGCCAGTGAAGACTTGACACAGGATCGAAATGCACTCAACAATCACGCACAAATTCGTGGATTAAACAGTGAGTCACACCTATTGTGTGAGGCCTAATGATCCTACCTGGATACCTACGCCTTGGTCGGTTCAGCAGGGTTCGGACTCGTGACTCAACCGTCTAGACCAATGAGCCACAGCTCCAGGATAGATACTCATTTTCACAGAGTAGGAATATTCTGTGCAGAAAAATACATTAAAACGGATGAAGTATGGTTTTCTCAGTAGTTATTCATGTCACATTGGCGCAATGAGTATAAAGCTCTATAAAATATCTCATCAATCTCTCCACTTTCAATAAGTACATTAACGACACAACATAGCACATGATACAATATCGGCTTTTGATGTAATCACATACAGTACTTTTGACCAAACTAGTGCCATACTGAATCAATCACCAATATGAAGAACAAAGTACACATTTGTTTTGAACCGTAGTGTGACTAAGTAACCCGATGCACGTTTATGTACTGGGTTATGAGACACACAAACTGAAGCCATATAATAACACTTCGTTGATTAAGTCAAATTAGACAACGCAAAGTTCGAACTTGGGTTCTCTCATCTGTAATCCGAGTGGTTTCGGTGTGTTACCTAGTGTTTTACTTTTGCCACAAAAACCTGGGTTCAAATGAGTTGCTTTGCAATCAGTCACCATTGTCATGGATGTATTCAGAACCACAACTCCTTCTGGACAGCCTATTCTAATTCTGCTCATGCTTTAGTGCGTTAAGTTCACCTGTAGTTTAGGCGGTCTTCAAAATCATCATCCCAAGCAGGTTACATCTAAACTGTGACTGAATACCAAACTGAGCTAGATTTAAGGTTAACTGTCAAAGCTGAAGAAAGTATTGATGAGCACGGAAGAGGCAAGTAAACAGACGTTTTGCTTTAAATAACGTCTCGCCAATAAACACTATGTCTTAGTTGTTAGCAACTCTTCGACGTTCGTCGACTTATACCAGCAAAATATTGAGTTTAACTATATGCATAAATCCCTTACGTGGCAGTACCGCAAGGCTTGGTGGTCAGGACGTGAGGGTGACGTGGGAGCAGCAGATACATCTAGTAATAGTCGAAAGATGTTCCAGTTTATCCAAGCCACTCGCAGCAAAAAACCAGGTGCCAGTAAAATGGTTAGTGAATTAGACAAGCTGATCCAAAACTTTCAAAGACGCCTAGAACGCCTGGCGGGACACTCCTAAAGCAACTTGGCCTATCTGCTCTTCCAGAAATATCAACTTCCGTGTTTTGTTCTCTATAATCAGATAACAATAATCCAGGTAATGAAATTAAAGTATGAAAGGAACCCTAATTACTACAGCGGACAAGGTATCTGGTTAGATAATTTTTTATTGATGGGGATGAGGCTTAAGTTAGGGAACTGATGAGATTTTCTCAGAAGGTATGGCATATTGAGCGACCCATCACTCTTGATTGAGACTATTATCATTTTCATCTTTGAAAAGTATCTACGTTAAATGTGACGATCATAGAAGCGTCATTTTACCACTAATAGAGTTTAAAATACTGGCTGCTTCTATATTTATCATGCTCATCAAACCACGTGATAAACTGATCTACGAGAGGCAAACTAGATTCTATTTACGTATTAGATAGGTGGATCGGGTGTCCACTCTTAAACAGTTGGTCGAACAACATCACGCGCATTGCAAACCGACAGTCGTTCCTTGATGTTAGGACTGCATTTGACTCGCTGAACACGGCTGTGTTCCACAGTTGTCAACCAGCCTATACGAATACCTGAGAAGTGTGCTAGCATCTTGAAGACCTTATGACAAAACAAGCAAGGTAGAGTTATGGTGTACCACAACCTAACTTCACCACTGTAAACTAACAGTGAGGTTAGGCAGGGTTGCTAGATTTCATCATTTCTTTTTAGCTGTTTCATCGGTGACATTCTTGAAATAGGTCTGGATGAAATAGGTGGTGGTGTAGACTTGTTACCAGGTGAAAAACTTTCGAACTTTGATTATATGGGCAATATCGTTTCACTGTGCAGTAACATACAGACTGGTTAAACTACACTCAATCAGTTAGTGATCCATGTCAGCAAGAATGGTCTATGCTTTGCACCATCAAAGTGCAGCTTCCTTTTATAAGATTAGCAGAAACCTGTTCCTGCACTCAATCTAGGAGGTGAAACGTCAATACCGGTTGACAAGTGTGCATATCTGAGTGGCCGTATGAGTCATGAAGGTGTGACTGATGGAAATTCTAACTGTGCACAGAAATCAGGGAAAGCAAACCCCAATATGGGTCGCACTTGGCGCTGTTGACACATCAGACTAGCTGTAAAAGGATGGGTACACAACGAGTAGGCATATGCAGTTCTGCTTTACGCTTGTGTAACCTGGTCTCTCTGACCTAAGGTCTGCGTGTGAGACCATCATTCTCGCCACAAGATTTCCCGCATCCGATAGAAAAACCATGTGTGTAATTCTGATGTACAATGATCCGTGTTTTTGGGTGATAAAGATGATTCAATGAAGCCACCTTGAAAAATCAAATTCGGTAACTCGGATGCGCTACGGATGCTGTCCCACAAACTCCCATATCCTCGACTGTTTACTAGCCCAGGAATTGGTTGAAAATAAGGGAGAGGCCAATATGTAAACTAGTGCCATGGGTAGAAGGACAGTTATGTTGGTTTAGCATTTGTTGCCGCTTAAAAGACTTCATGGTTGTTTTTTTAGAGATCAGGAAACTCAGTAGCTTGAGACGACAGCAGACAAGGCTTATGATCAAAAGCGATGTCTAGCATGCTGCAGTTACTTTGTTTCGCTTACCATAAAAGACAGACAGGCAGATAGAGATGGACAAAATCAACGTAGGATCTAGCACACAAGTGTACCAACTCAAGTTACCACACTTCACAGTAGTATACAAAGGAAAAGTATCAAAGTAGACAGAGTTATATGAGATAATAAACAATCTGAAGATAAAGATTAGTGTGAATATTCAAGTTTCAGATGTCAAGGAGTGAATACATCTACGCCATTGTGACCGATTTTTAGCCATTTCACCAAGTCAGTCCTAAACCACTGACAACTATCGTCTCGGGGACACCAGTTAGGGAGTCTACATCTCGCCCAAACCGCACAGACAAACAGTCGAGGACTTCGTGGACTGATGTCAGGTCAGGATCTGGTCACCCTGAACCCTCTTCTAACCTAATCCAACCTCCCCTAGCATGGCACTTTGAGGTAAGCGGTGACTCGGCATGGGCAACGCATGTCTAAGCCACCCCAGCAGATGAAGATACGTATCCCTTCACAGTGATTGACCTACCACTCAGAGGTCATCCGGTTAACTTGGAGTATACTATATATATACTTGTTATGTTATACTTGGGAACAGGTCTGGACACAACAAAGTCCTTAGAATAGAATATCATACATCCAGGCGGTGTACAAATAACTAGGATTGATCACCTTAGAGATCAAGTAAAGATGACTCATAAGCCACAGTCGAACTGTCTTTGAGTGGTCTTTTTCCAACAGAGTGATCGACTGAAACTCGTTGCCAGAACAAGTAGTAGAAGACTCCTTGGTGAATACATTTAAGGACAAACTGGATCTTCATGGAGACAACAGCTGCAAAAATTTAACATAGACCGCTTTGATTGATATTCGTATCAATGAAGACTGCGGTTCTTTTTTGTGAGAAATGAATATTCCTCGATCGTTCTCTGATGATCTACTATATGCTGCTAGAAAATACTATCCTAAATCTTTCAAATAGAGACAATGAGGTAAGCACCATACAATAAAGCATCTGAGGAATTGAGTGCAACTCACTAAACATCCTAATCATTGAGGTACTAATAAGTATCAAGCACACGATTAACCCCTGAGAAGTATTCATTAGGACCTAGTTACCCCTTTCAGTTTCTAGGCTTGGTGTGCCGATAAGCTAACTCTGTGGATAAGAAGAAACAACTGGCAAAAACTGGGAAGAAATGAAAAATAGTTTTCAGCTCGAAGTTAACCAGGTCTATTAACCGCTATTTACGGTAGAACGACGGTTATAAAAGTCAGAACAGATATTTAAGCATTAAATCTTCTCAAATATCACTAATAAAAACAACTAGAAGTATCTAACCTCGTTCCCATATTGCATTAAATGATGAATAGTTAGCAATGCCTTGAATACAACGACCGAGTTACTGTGCTGTGTGCGATTAACAAGTTGATTGGCAAAATCTGGAACGGACAAACGTGGTTCGAATGTACATTGAACAAGATCTGGAAAGCTATTAACTAATCGTCTAGACACCTACATGCTAGGTGTTTCTTTTTAGGGGCACACATCTCCTCTGTTGTAGCTTTGCAAATTACTTTCACAACCACGGAACCTGACAAAGTGTACTTCATGGCCGTCATTAGATCTGAAAGACTTTGGCCGGTCCCACTACCAGCCAGTTGTTTAACAACCTTTCCAGCCATCACTCTGAAAAGTAACGTACGCCTTCGAATTTAGCGCGCAATTGTCTGGGCTTATTAGTATCGGTGACCAACATCCAACGCCATTAGTGTGAGTAAAGGAAGTTTTTAGCCTTTGAACTTCCACCTCTGAGTCTTGAAAACCGGTCACTTTCGTTTTTTAGTTTTCATTCTATGCTTACATAAATCTTTTCGTTCTGTTTGCTTGAAGCTTTGGAAGTAGTGTCTATCTTAAGGTTTTCATTTGCAACTTGTAGGCTGGTTTGCCGGCAGAAGTGGCGGAGCTGCTAGCGAAGGAGATTAACCTTCTTTGAGTCCTGCCTTTGCCTGGATCAGCCAGTAAGTACTAGGTGTTATCCAAAAGGTTGTGCGAGAAATGGGGAGAGTAGAGCATGGGAGACGGAAGGAAAGTATTTATGGGTAATAAATGTTCAGTTTGGGGCTTTTGGGGGACTTTATTGATTTCAGATAGGTAATTAGTATTGGCCGGCATCATCTGGAGACCCCCTGAAGACCTAGGAGCATCGAATATCTGTTTCTTCCCGGTGTAGGAATCCCCGGCAGTGGACACCCACTGTCCCATCCAGGATCATTGGTGAATACCAACTTAAAGCACTGTCCGGTCCTCGTAGGTGGCTTGGTTCGAGATAAGCCTCCTCCAAGTTCTAATGGCAGACCGTGACCGGTGGACCAAACCAAGTCGGATGGGGGGACAGCTATCCACAACTGCATTCGACGAAAGCTGCGCTATGTCACGAACTGACAGAAGTAGGAAGGTGTGGAGCATTCGAATCCAACCCACTGACTAAGTGTCAACGTGCTTTCCTTGAAATCTGAAAGTTCTGAGTTCTACCCCCTTGAGGCCATGGGTGGACTTTGCTGAGGAGCCCCGTAACCGGACGAAGCAGCTCTCCAGTGCTCCGAGGTTTTCAGTGGCTCTCCGACTTATGTCAGCCTGCGATGAATACCAACCTGTTTAAGTGATACGGACAATAATATGACGAGGTTATAGCTCTTAATACAGATAGTGGGATTAGGTAACACAGAGATGGAGGAGTATTCCTACAGTTGCTACCGGCGTACGTTGGTGGTATGCCATTCGCGGTGTTGTCGTAATCCAGCATCTGTCTGAAGGAGTCAGCTGGAGCGGCTGTGGTTACTTTTTTCGAGAGAGCTTTCCATTATACAGGCTCAGCGAGGGAAGTTAGATCTGGCTCCTGCCTTAGCCTTGTAGGGGGGCATACGCGTGGGGTTCCCACTACAGTTGGCGGCAGATAGCTAGAGGCGAACATGTCTCTGGATAACTGATACACCTTCTGTGGGTTGTTGTGGATCTTTCTGCCATGGACGAGAAAGTTGTGATGAATTCGTCTGTTTGTCCGGTTCCAGAAAAGTTCTGTGAGTGCGTTTACTTTAGGGGAGCTAGCTAGTGCAATAGTTTCGGCCTATTTTGCTCGCATTTCTTGACAGGGAATAATGGAGACTAAAGTACTAAAAAGGGACTGTAACGCATCAAGCCCACTGACCGATGGTGTAGATATTTTTGAGTGGCAGATTTTGACCTCTGCCACTGTGCAGTCAGGACATACCTTACCAGAGCCAATCAGGATAAGCCATTCTATCTTTGACCTGGTAAATTCTTATGTTTGTGAAAACCGTATTTAAATGTTGCTTTGTTCCGTCAGCACACAGTTACCCCCTGCAGTCAGGGGCCTGTTTTTGTCTTCTGATATTTTGTGGTTCAGGTGCAGGTTAGAATCCTTTTCCATGGCAGCCGTAACGCCATATTACCCTTCATTAGGGCAGTCAGAGAGTGATCATCTTGTGACGCTCCTACTACGTGGACATGAGCCAGTATTGATAGAGGGCGTTATAACCATGAAAACGGAACTGCTTACCAACTGGTAATGACCGGGAAATAGTAAACCACATATCCAAGAGAACGATTCTTGAGAACGTCACCTTTTTGAAACTCCTGACTAAAACGAGAAACCAATCGCCCTTCACTTGCCACGAAGGAATCACGACACAAGTAGAAACTATCCGGGAAACCAGGAGAAAGCACACACGTCGCCGAGAGTAATCGATGTGATATCTAGCTCAGAGATGGACTGGAGGTCACCTCTGATGAGTCTCACATGGAAACTCGAAGCGAGCAACCAAGAACCTATATCGAAGAGTGGGGAAACGAATATCCACCACCTAGACAGCCTAAGTTACCTACAACCCAAGTGAGAAACATCTTTATTGACTCAAGGCTTTTGAATGCCTTAGCGCCATCTCTAGCTGAACTCAACCATCTACCGGCTAAAATTGCTCGCTAACATTTTTGGCAGCGTTCTATGCTATCGATCGCAGAAAAGATAAACATGTTACAGGTACCTCTCGGTTTGACAGTGGAAAAACTACCAAGGCTTCGTGCAAGAAAATATTCAGGGTGTCACGGTATTCACGCATCTGTGTCGAAGTAATGGGTTTTCTAGATAGACGCCAGCCTCCAGCTAATTTCTTATAACTGACTAGATTTAAATCAAGGGGTACCGAAATATTTCAAACGAAGAGCATTATGTTCTGAATACAGTATGGAGTGAGTACACAGTATAACTCACCTGAATTCAGAAGTCCTTTGGAAAAGACAACTGGGACTCAGTCATTATCCTTCTTTCATTATTTTGGGACAGCGCAAATTATTTGTCGGGTTCAACTGCAAAATGAGAAGCCACAAAACACCAGCACCAGCTTGCAAACCAAATTTCTTAATAAGTCTCAGCCTTTTCAGAAACAGTTTCCTGAGCTATCAATGAATGAAAAATAATTTCCATGTCTTTGTTTCAATTTATGAGCTTTCCAGTCATCTGCTTGTAATCGTGTCAACCTCTGTCAGAAAAGATATACCTAATCTCTGGAATGCACAAATGAACCGCGAATAAAGATGGTGTATAAGTTCTTACTCGCCACTGAATTACGTGCGCAACTAAGCAAGTGTCAATATATGAAATAGGCATTCCGATTTCTTTTCCGCTCAACACAAAATCCTCTGTACTAGCACTGTGATAGCGGATGTATTGTGCGTGTATCTGCCTTCCATCTATATTCGAGATTTTAGGAAAAATGTCATTTTTCTTAGTATTCTAAATACCATTGGTCCGCATGCATAAGATAGTGTGAAGACGGGAGATAATGCAAAAATGACACGGTAGGTTGTGTTACAAGAAATAGGAAGTTCAAAACTAGTAGTTAGGCAGTCTGTTGCTTAATAACGAGGTAGACTAAGAAGTTAAACATATCAAAATTTACGAGATGGAATGTCATTAAACGATGTACCTAATAAAATAGTGTCCTGACAATGCAAGAATACCATTTCACGTACATATTACTGAAGACAGCAAGATAAAAGTAACTGCCGAACAGATAGTGTGTGCTGTACTTAACATATAGTGTTTGGACCAAAAACAGATCTATGGGATGAATCACTTTGTCATATATCAAAGAGTTCTTGGAAACTGTCAGCTGATCTCTTCATCCTCCCAAAGAATTTGTAAGCACCAGTTTGCAGTCAAAAGACATGATATATTCTCATTGATATCCATGCATGTAGATGAACACAACCCCAACCTCTTTCTGGTAGACGTGGAATTACTACGACAAGCAAATTCAAAAACTGCAAGAGTGTGACTCGAAGCATGGTACTCCGAACAAATGGAAATCAGTAGACTCCTGAGTATTAAACCAACATACGGACTATTGAGAAGGGATCGGCCAGCTTGAAATCAATCGAGCAAAACCAATAACCGGATATCGGGTCAGCAGTACAGGACAAATAATGACAGCAGTTATAAAGATGAACCTCTGATAAAAAAGAGCAAATTCACCACTTCGCTCGGTACCGCAACGCTCAGAATCGGCAAATCTCCCTAATGAACCTCCATTTGGCTTGAAGTTCTCTGCTTCTTTATTAAGTGAATGCTGATGAAGTCACCTAACCGGGCTTTGAGGCGTTCCAGAACAAACCTCAAAGCCAGGCGAACACCAGGCAGTTATCAAAAATAGATCTGTTTCATGGTTATTTAAAGCATTCCTTGTATTTTAGCTTGTTCTCTGGATTCGCTTCCGATTCTTTTCAGAAACACAGGAACAAAGGCACCTCAGGTGTTGTCCCATGAAAAGACGACGGCTCACTGGGGATGTATCAGACCCTCATTCCGATTTGTAGTTAGAGAACACAAGGCTGTTAACTTGTATTAATCCTTTTCCGGTAGGTCTCTGTGCTTGTTTAGTAGTATCCTGAACAAGTTATTTGACTGTGTGGACATCGCCTACTGGGAGTCTATTCCAGACGCTGATTGCTCAGCGTGAGAACTGGTACTGTACGGTGACCACGTCCATCTGCCTTTGTACTCTTCTGCTATGTCCTCCGAGGTATCCCAACCTGGTGGGAAATAAAGGAGATAGATATGGCCCAAATTCAGTTCTTAGAATCCTGTATAGTAAGACTAGATATAACCTCTACCGGCAATAGGATAAAAAGAAGAGGTTTGGCTTTCTGAGTGGGTCTCCGTAGGTCAGGCTAGCTGTCTCAGGAACTGTACGAATGGCCGTCCTCTAAACCCTTTCCGGAAGGTGTGAAAAACCTTTCTGCCAAGGATTTTCCGCTAGTGCACAGTTTTAGGTTGAAACCTAACTGGGGAAGTGGATTAGGTGGTGGACATGTGACCAGACTTTCGTAAACGTGCTGCGTAATGCCTATGGTGTCCTTAAACTCCGTATTGTGCAGCGAAACTCACGAAAAAGCCTGAGATAGTCCGGAAGTTGACTCTGTCATCTGATTTTATTTTGTTTCCTTCAAATAGGTAAGAATTCCGTGTAGCTTTCCTGAGACGCGCATGTTCGTAGCACGAATTGGCATTGAGTTCGTCCCGTTCTTATTTTCCATAACCGACTGTGAGTTTGCCAAATACGAGGTTTCTAACCAGAAACATTCCACCAATGGATGAGTCGTTATTTCATTCGCTGTAAATATATAACTTTAAGAGGCAGTC